ACCACATCAACTACTACAACAGAGCCATGGAAAACCTGCCAATTGATGCCTTTGGCAGCAGTCACATTGAGATGGTCCAGGCCCTGGCACTAATTGGAGGCTATTATCTGCACTACATCAACAGGCCGAACATGGCCAATGCCGTTCTCGGTGCCGCCATTAGGATGGCTAGCGCTCTTGGACTTCACCGAGAAAGTCTTGCTCAAGGCTCCAGCGACATGGTCGCCGCCGAGACCCGACGTCGCACTTGGTGGAGTCTGTTCTGCCTCGATACATGGGCAACAACAACAATGGGACGACCCTCATTTGGTCGATGGGGCCCTGCAATCAACATCAGGCCTCCCGAATTCGGCATCAACCAAGCCCGGGACTCTGCTCAGCATGCGGGAATCTTGCCACTGATTGAAAACATCAAGTTCTGCAAGATTGCCACCCAGATCCAAGACTTACTGGCGATCTCGCCCCTCCTACGTGCCGAGGATCGCTGCAACCTTGACGGTCAGCTGGTCAGCTGGTATAGCAGCCTCCCGTGGCTTCTGAGGACGACTGATCCCTGCGCCGAGCCTCTATACATTGCAAGGTGCATCATGAAGTGGCGATACCAGAACCTGCGAATGCTGCTCCACCGGCCCGTTCTCCTTAGTTTGGCCAGCAACGGTGCCCTGTCTCAAGTGGCCGAGCAAGATATCACGGCCATTGAGACGTGCCGTGAACTCGCCAAGCAGACCATTGAGGATATTGCAAGGGAGTGGACTCGCAATCAGATGTCGGGATGGAACGCTGTGTGGTTTCTTTACCAGGCGGCCATGATTCCACTGGTCAGCGTCTTCTGGGAGTGGAACAGTCCACGTGTTCCCGACTGGCACCAGCAGATCGAGACGATCCTTGATCTGTTGGAGGCTATGGAAGACTGGTCATTGGCAGCGAAGCGTAGCCGAGAGGTAGTGTGGCGAATGTATGAGGCCTCTCGACAGCCATCCATGCGGTCAGAGAGCCCTCTACAAGGGATGGGTAGCGAACAAGGCCTATTGTTGGCCGAGACGGAGCTGCACATGTCACCCATTGGCCTAGAGCCGGAGGGGATGGGCATGATGGGCATATTTGATCAGCATGGCCTCTGGGATCTAGACGGCATGTATTGGGGCCAAAGCCCCGATCAGACGGTGGACTTTTCCCCTTACAACGTCAGCGAGCAAATGATGCACATGGACTATGGCATGATGGGTAGCCAAGCTGCAGCAATGGAGGGTGGCTTCTTCGTCCACTAGTGTGGGCGGTTTTTGGTACATTCTTTTTCTCCTTCTCTTCTGGTACATATTTACTCTTATTTTCATACTTTGTTTCCGTCCGAAGCACGAATCTTGGTAGAGGCAACTAGCCGAAGCCACTCCCCTCACGCTGTTGTACATAGCTTGGATGGGCAAAAGGGTGGGCAGACGACGCTCGGCGTTTCTGGCAATGGTCGGTTACATTGATGGACCTTGGAAAGAAAAGGGTGCCATGAAGTTTGGAAAACGGGCCATGATGGCGGCACAGACTATGAAGGATACCCGAGATGACGATGACGACGATGTACGTACAATTCATTACAGAACAACCCAGAAAAGCTATAGTGACGAACCGGAATTGGGCTTACCTTGGACCCTTTATTTGGACCAATTTAACAGTCCACCTCCTTTGCATTAGACTTGTTAGCTTCTGAGTGCCTGCAACGCGAGAAAGGGGGGAAAGAGGTGCAAATCAGTCCTAAGGTCCTCAAGAGATTTGCATGAAGAATATCCTAGCGTGTCTGCTTCGAACGAGACAAACACATGACCCGGGGAAAGTGACTGTTTCCTCGCGAGTGGTGTGTATGGTCTTACATGTGGCGAAGCTATGGAGCGCCTTACGTTTCTTCACCCTCACAGCGGAAGACCATTCCATATGACGCTCTGCTCAAGTGTGTTGGTGCACAGGGGCGTCGGCATCAGGGACGAGCCGGCCGACGAAAAGCGCGAGGTAGTCTTGACTGCTACCCCTGAACGAGTGTGTGCAAGCACGACGACCGGTACCTTACCTCTCGGGTCGCACAGCTATCCCCAGTCAAGAGGCAGGTCTGACAATTCAGCCTTTAAGCATGTTGTCACATTTGCATGCTTAGTGACGGTCAGACTAGGATGGACCAGGACAAGTTTGGAGGTACGTGAATGGTCAGGCCAGAGAAGACGGTTCGACAACGGGCCACCAGAGTCATCTAAAGTAGCGTTAGCTACTTGGAAGTAAGGTTGATCAGGTGCCATGACCCGAGGTAAGGTAACTGGACTAGGATAGACGCACATGTTTCCGAGGAGATGACAGTTGCGATTGGGTGGGTAAATATGTTAGTGGGGGCTTTGAGGATGGCTGTCTGGGTTGTCGGGCCGTAGCGACTTTCCTGGCCCTTCCTCTTTCACAGAAGACGGGGACAAAATCACGAAATGTGTGTGAGATGTAACGAGGTAGCAAAGCCCCTGGTCGATGTCCGCTCATCCCCAGTACCCCACATCAAGTGTCGTCCCATGATCCATGACCATTTCATCTCCATGCCGTTTCCCTCTCTCTCCCTCTCTCTCTCTTTCTGTTCCCACGTCCGTCTCCCTGCCTGTCCGTCGACACCTCATATCTTCATGGCATTGTAACGACAAGTCCGGACAGCCCGAGAAAATTCCCTGCCGTGTCTGTTTTTGTTATCATTGGCCTGTCCTTCATAATCGGCCTGGACGATGGGAAGTAGGGAACTTCACACGCCAAAACTAGCAGCAAACTTGCCCTCTTCGATTCTGTAATACAGGAAGGCAAGCTATCGGACACAACCTTGAGGGATGCGAATGCTGTACTAAGAAAGTGGCTGCTAGTGCTTGGAGAGTATGTGATTTTGCTCCGGGCGAAGATCCGAGGAGAGACCACGCTCTGGTGGCAGAATAGCCTTTCAAACAAAGATCCCAAAGAATGATGAGGCGTTTATTATATGTAGCAAAAGTGAAACTCCAAATCGGACGCAGTCAAAAATCTAGTTTTCTCCCAAGCCTTTGGACAAGGTGCACGTCAGCCGTCAAAATTCAACCAGGCGTATGCGGTAGCGCGGCACTGGCACGCCGCCCAACGCTCGTCATTTCATATACCGACCAGTGACTCTGCCGAGTTGACAGCTGCGGATCGAGGCATGCCATAAGCAAACCTGGTCTTTCTTCTCATGTACCTGCCTAAGTCGTGCTGTGACCGAATTTTCGCCTCTGACGCCGCTTCTTCTTACCAGTACCCGCCGCCAGAAATTCTAATGTGTTACAATGAAGCGTCAAAGCCCAGAATCATGTTAGCCTCGATGTTTTAATATTGTTCGTCAAGTCTGCTGCCCAGCACTTGCCCCTAGTAAAATTCTGCAATGTAATTGACTCCAAGCTCATTAAAACACAATGCAACTGGGCTGTCCAAGAGCGATCAGGTCTCATCAATGTCTCAACGCTTCTTGGTACTGCTCTGCCGTTCTTCACCGGCCCCCGCTAGCACAAACAAAACAGCAGCGAGGCCCTTTCGTTTTATAGGATACCTCGCCGCGTACCCTCTAGCCTCGGTCAACGGGGGGAACCGGACACGAATGGTGAATCTGACGGGGTAATGTGACGGAGGCATTGTGTGTAGTCATGCGGTAACACTAGGGTTTCCCCTAGAATGCTGAGTGGCTTTGCCGCAGGTGCTATCCTGCCCGGACAGTACATATGTGAGACAAGTCAAAGGTGTCATTTCTCCATGCGTGTCTGGAGTATCGCCCCGTTGATGGAACGGTGGGCCGGCCGGCCGGCCCCAATGGACTAAGACATAACGGACCGTGATGCGGGGGTTCGGTGCGACCAGTGCCCCACTCTAATGCTGTAGAACTTGCGCGGCACCCGGTCAAGTTACGGAAGGCTGGTTTGATGACGCCGGTCCCGGTCCTGGAGATCACCAAATCCACCTAGCTAACAATCTCCCTAGCCTGTCACAAGTTTGTTGTTGGATTGTTGGGATTGACTGGGTGTTATTGACCAATGCAACGAACTCGTTCGGTGACTTCAGTCAAGGAGCATTCGCACGATCAATATTTTCCACTCCTTATAAATACGCAGCTAATGAGCGGCAATGCAACAACCAAGCTAACTGAATTACATTAGGTTCTTCCTGTGAGAAGGTAAAATCAGGAAGTTACAAGGCGGCTTGGGCAGTCCTTTCCTCGAGAGGAGTCAGGAGTCTTGCAGTGCCTTCCGCTCGTGGACGACTGAACACATCAGGTCTAGTACCTGACTTTTCTATGTGGACAAATCCATTTATTTAAGGCTTGGATGATACAATACCTAGATACTTCATCGAACATCAAAGGTGCCACGACGGCGTCATCAGCGTATCCGATAACACCGTACTTGTCTCATAAAGGCCAGTGATGCACTGGTATCTTGCACCATAACATATCGTTCCAAACCGGTTCTGCATTGCGCCGTGCAAAACCTCTTAGCGACACGAGCAAAAAGCCTCCAGGAAAGACTGAGCGATTCACAATCCCCGTTCTTGGCCGATCTCTTCGAAACCATCGTTCTACAGGGTGTCACTACCGTGAAAAGAAAAAGCCCAAAAGCCACAACGTAACCTTCCGAGCCTCGCTGGGTATTTTAGTCGTGCAAGTACTTTGCCATGGAACATAAACTCAAGTGTAATGTGCTCAAGTGTCGAAAAGAGCTCGGCGGCCAGGCGTTGGTCACTACCTGCAGGTAAGCAGGGGATGGTCACGGAACAACTGGTATTGAGACTGACAGACTGTGTCGGATAGCCACATCTTCTGCGCCGAATGTTCCAACCGCCATGGCTTAACAGGACCAGTTCAAGAGCAACAAAACACCTGTCCAGCTTGCAATTCCCAGCTAACCAAACCAGATGACGCGGTGGTGGCCAATTTGAACGTAACCGAGGACTATAAAACGACCATCTTAAGCGGACTGAGCCCCAACGCAATCATGGAGTGTGCAGGAAGAGCACTGAGCTTCTGGGCATACCAGACAACGCAAGAAATGTAAGCACAGTCTTCTTGGTGACAAGCCTGAGATGGATCGTTGACTTGCTAAAGCGTTTACCAGCGATATCTTGAGAAGACTCTGACGGAAAAGCTCAAGTCGGTAGACATGAAGCTCCAGAAGGCCGTAGACGACGCCAACACAGAGATTGCAAGTCTTCAAGAAAGAATACAAGGCAAGTCTGCCAGCAAGACCGCCCCTCTGCCTTCGAGCATGCTTGCTGATATACTAGCAGCCCTTTCAGAAGACTACGATGATGTGCGACGCAAACACGAAGAGCTTGCATATGCTTACCAACACAAGTGCCGCAAGCTCACACAGGTCCAAGAACTCTACGACCGGGTAAAAAGAAAGGCCGAGCTAGGGCAGATGGAGGCCGCTGCGGTAGATGCGGTTGACTCGAGTCTCCAGCATGTCACGCAGGCTCCCGACTCTAATATCTCGGAGCCTGCTGCAAGGTTAAACACACATCAGCAGCAGACAGAGCCTGCGAACTACGGCACTCATCGCCCTATCGGATCGGACCTAGGAAATCGGCGAGCGCATGCCTGTAAAGATATAGGGGCGTTTCGGGAGGGTATGGCTTGGTCAATATCGGAACCTGCACAAGATTATCCCGATAACAACTCTATGCCACAAACCCATAGGCAGATGATTGATGCAGGCGGCGTTATACAGACCCTGCGCGGACCCCCTCGGGAGCAAGGCGCTAGGGGTCATGCTAGGCTCGGGTTATCAACGGCTTCCAGAATGGCTGTAGGAACACCTTCAACTCGTGGCCCCTCCGGCATACTTGGCAATGCTCTAAACCCGCGGCACCCACCGGTCCAGCGTGGCTATAACCTGGGCGTCGGTCTTTCGTCTGGTATCAGAGCTAGTCACACCAGCCATGGTAGTCATGGTGGTCACGGTAGTCGTGGTTTGGTGGAGCGCAACGCAGCTCAGTCATATTCTCGAGGTATTTGCTTGGCCTCTCCATCTCGAATGCTTTCGCCGCTGATGCCTAACGATAGCGTCCCAACACCCTGCTCTTGTTCCTGCAGCATTTGGCCATATGCCGGGACCATAACAGAAGTCATGACAGTCAGTCTCCAACAAGCAGACATTCCTTTCATCGAGGCTGTGTTCGAGGAGGAAGAGTGGAAAACCAGGCACAAGGCAGGAAAAGCACGTAGTTCAAGCGTTCTTTTACGGTATAATCGAGGGTGAAAGAGACACGTGCAGTATTAAGACGAAGACCTTTTGTTGTACGACAATGGACCACAAAGTGCAGCTGGAAACAGTGCCCTTTGAGGATGGAAATCCAGCATTAGATATGTGGATCAAATGGGATGCATATATTACGGTATGGGCACCTCTTTTTGGCAGTTGGTTTGCGTACATCAATTTGTCTCCAAGGAACAGGAGCAAGTGGCCAGCTGGTTGGGTTTCGGTGCATGATGCCAGTAGCAATCCAAATGATCCCCAGGTCGATGTGGTCATTGGGTGATGGTGAACAACATCAAAACAAAACTTGCTCACAAGCCAGAAGCGGGCGATCAACAGGGCGAAGGAGACTGCAAAGCCCTAGACGACCATCCTTGGAACTTCAACATGAAAGCAACAGTAAGGCGCGTGGCGGCAAGTGGCTCCGAGAAGTAGCCCAGCGAGCAATGGCCTGGTAGCGAGAGGCCGGGAGTCACAGGCGTGCTGAAGGAGAACGGCCAAAATTGATTTTGTCGTCACCCGTGCATGTCGTTAGCAGTCGGGCGATTGCGGTGCACAGCGGCATATTTGTCTTTGCTAGACCTTGAGCAGGGCCGGGGCCCAGAGTGATGGATGCGAGTGGATTGAGATCGCACTGGGAGGCATAAGGTTCTCATCCCATCACAGCAAGCGGGCCACGGTCAATGTTGACGTTGAGAGACACAGACGCTGCGCGGCGGGAGGCGAATGCAATTCGCTGCAGCCCTTGGGGAGGTGAAGGGAGTTGCTCATGACGTTGGACCCAACATCGGCGCTCGGAGGTTTCAGTTGTCAGTGCGAGCGGGACACACGTGTAGGCATGGCAGTCGGCGATGATGGAAGAGCAGACGAACGTTGGGACGAAATTAAGACTTGAAAGATGGGAGAAAATGGAGGGGGGGGGAAGAATGAGGGGAAGTCTGGAGGCGGATGCCACGATGGGCAAGGAGGAGGGGAGGTGCAACCTCAGTCTGATGTTTGACGATGGATGCGGATCGGGATCGGGAGATGGGAGACGCAAGCATTATCGTCAAACGGGTGGCTTCTGAAAACGAAGGCTGGCACCAGGCGGCTGAGCAGACCTGGAGGAGGCGTTGATCTTGTGTCAAGGAGTGGACATAAGTCACTGTGCGTATCCGCGACATGATTAACTTGGCTGCAGTTAGACATATCACACTCGGATAAACGCTGCCATTCTGTGGCAAATGGAGAATCAAGGGGGAGGAGCTGAAAACAACCAAACAGCTTGGCAACCCGACATTTCTTTTATATTCTCATCCACTGAGACTTTCCCTTGCAGAACATTTAATTGAATACGGTGCACTATGTGCTCAAGTAGCGGCATCTTGAATTGAATAGCGCCGTTTGTTGTCTGGTTCTGTCTTGGCTCGAACTCTGAAGCCAGTAGCACACTTGTATCTTATCTCTGCCCGTGGGCCCAAGAAGGAAGGTACAGAAGGCAGTTCGACTGTCATACTATGTACACTACTCACCTAGAGTCGATCCAGACTTTTCTGTTTGGAGTAACTGGGAAGTTGGAAGGGATGACGGGACAGATACGTACATTATCCGCAATCAATCATGATGTGGGCGGGCTGGTCTCGTCTTGATATGACAGCACAGTCCACACAGTGTTGAGGAAGCCATGACTGTCCCGACTCCGCAAGGTCGGGAAGGAAAATGGCCACACCAGCAGGACGTTCCTCGCCATAACCGGATTGCACTGGGTAGTGGCTGCGTGGCTTCGTGTTTTGCTGGTTGCCAGGCCAAGGGACATTGGCGGCGCTGTATCTGTTGTCTTTCGAAGCAACAGCGACAGGAATGCGCCACAATATTTCCCTGACCGCAAATGACAGTGGGAGTGAGAAGTAAGCAGTGCGCAATATTCTTGTTCCGTGGCATTTCCGGTTGGCCAATCTGACACGCCAAGTCAGGGGTCCAACCAAGTTCTGTGATCTAGTGGCCGAGGTGAGGCCCCACACCACCTGGTCGCCCCCAGTGGCATTCAAGCATTCAGAGCATCTGAAGAATTCTCACAGTGCACAGGGCAGCGGCAGGCAAGCGCAGCGAGTAAGTTACTGTGAGGTACAGAGGGGCGAGGGATAATGTACTTACTGTGGGTGTCTGTCTTGGTGTGGTCCCTCGAGTCTCTTTCTTTTCCCTCAGGATGCACGTCCCAATTCCAGTTTATTGAGGGAGAGATAGAAGTTGAGGGATATAACAAATGGAAAGGGAGAGTGGGCCGATCACCGAAGACCAATCCCACCAGAGACCATAGAAATCCTCATATGCGCTCTCGAACACCACCAGAGCCATGTGAAAGGCGCAGAGGAACAGAGACAGAGTGAGATTGGGCGAGGGAAAGACGAAGAGAACACGAGCAGGGCGGGCGTCCTTCTGCCTTGCCTTGCTGCCGGCACCACTTCTAGTAGTGTGCCCCGAGGCAAAAGCAGAAAGACGGCGAAGGAACTTGAAAGGCACGGTACCTTCCATTACCAAGATGACCGACCACAGTTCATCGACAGGGAGTTATTCGTACTGTGTACTTCCGTCATTCCAAGAGTACCAATCATGGTCAAACATCAGACGGTTACGTACTCCCCGTTTGAAGTCGAGTCTGGTGCAGACACTCGCCGCGCAGTGCAGCCCAGCGCGGCACCTCCGTCTCCCTGTCAATCGCCGTTCCCGCAAGGTCAGACCAAAAGTAGAGCCCAGTGCCAGGAAGCAACTTGGCGCCCTCAACTTGTGAGGCCAAACTGCCAAAATACGGCGATGCACACAGTGTTTGGCTGGCTGGGTGCGACTCTGTCACTCTGTCACTCAGTAATCCCATGCCGGCAGCAGTCCAATACAAGCCCAGACTTGTGCTGTATTGTTATTTTATCATTTTATTTTTACCATCTCCCGTTGCCGTCTCCGTTTGTCTGCCCACTCACCTCGACCCAGCGACTGACTGACTCCGTCTCCGTCTCCATCCCTCTTTGTCCAAGTCCGGTTCAGTCCCAACCCACGTCGTCTCCAGACTTCCTCTCCCGTCCTTAGCCCCCCCCCCCCCTGACGCGGGCAATTCATCAATTGCCAACCTTCGCCAACCTTCGTTCTCGAATCTCTCCTTACCATCCCCAGGATGACCGACGCTCGCTAACATCCCACTCGACGAACTCTGAGGAATCCAACATTCGTCTTGCCAAAAAATCCTATCAATACCTATACGCGATTGTCTTGGTTCATAATCTCACCTGCTGGCCTTTTTTCTCTTCTCCTGACACCAATCCCGCTTATCTCGCCACGCCGTTCAACCGCGACCAATCTGTACACAATCACGAACAACATTGATCTCAAACGATAAACTTGAAGACTAGTCTTCAGCGACAACCAGCGACGGCAAGCAAAGCCGCACGAGTCCTCGAACCGCCTCGCCTCTTCCAAAACGCACCATCGCCCTGCGCCGCGATCCGTCTCTTCTCTCGTCCCTCGCGCATTCCACGATCCACAACCTCCGTCTAACTACATTGGCTACGACGCAGCCTGACTGCATCAGCTGCTCCTCATGGGGAAAAAATGTACGCAATCTGGCATTACCATTGATACCGTCCCTGAATGCATCGTGAATCTTAGTATACTGACCGTGCTTACTCGAACAGGGCGATATGGTATCATTTTCGACGCGGGTTCCTCGGGAACGCGCCTATACGTTTACAAATGGAAGGACCATGCCAAAGCGATTAAGCATGCCTCCATCGACGAGCTCCAGAGCTTGCCAAAGATCAAGCTACAGACAAGCAAAAAGACACACCCTGGCGTGTCATCTTTTGCCGAGAAACCTGAAGAGATTGGCCGCGAACACCTACAGTCTCTCATCGATATAGCCCTCAAGGAAGTGCCCGATAGTAAAGTCGCCGATACGCCCGTTTACCTTATGGCCACCGCCGGCATGCGTCTTCTTCCTGATCACCAACAAAAGGCCCTACTTCGGAACATGTGCTCGTACCTCCAGCAGAACACGCGGTTCTCGCTGCCCGATTGCAACACCAACATTCAGGTTATCTCTGGTGAGACGGAGGGTTTGTATGGTTGGCTCGCCACCAACTACCTCCTTGGCGGATTCGACCATCCCGACAAGCACACGCATGGCAAAGGCCACCACACATATGGCTTCTTGGACATGGGAGGTGCTTCGGCGCAAATCGCCTTCGCCCCGAATAACACAGAGGCCGAGAAACACGCCAATGATCTCAAACTTGTCCGCCTACGTACCATAGACGGCTCAACCGTCGAGCATCGTGTTTTTACTGCCACTTGGCTCGGTTATGGTGCGAATCAGGCCCGCGAGCGTTATGTCGATAAGCTTAAGGAACAATACGGGAGGCCCGACAGCCTAGAGCTTCCGGACCCATGTCTCCCTGCTGGGCTGCGAACGACTCTCAAGGGCGAACCGGTCGTCAGAGAGTCGACGGGCAAGGAGTTGTCGCTCCTTGGTACTGGTCGATTCGACGAATGTCTCAGACAGACAGAGCCACTGCTTGGAAAGGACGCGCCATGCGAAGACCAGCCCTGTTTGCTCAATGGACAACACGTGCCAAACATCGATTTTGACGTGAACCATTTCGTTGGCGTGTCCGAGTTCTGGCACACCACGCACGGTGTTTTCGGAAAGGGTCACAAGACAGCATATGACCTGGCAACGTACCAAAAAAACGTCGTGGACTTTTGCACACAGAACTGGTCGGAAATCGAAACCAACATCCATGCCAGGAAGAAATCTACTGCTCAGAAAGCCAAGAATGCGCAAGAAGCTTGCTTCAAGGCTTCCTGGCTCATCAATGTTTTGTACGAAGGCATTGGTATTCCCAGACCTGGCCTTGAACACACCCCGAACCCTGGCCTGAACGTGACCAAAGGGACCATGGAGGATGCTAAGGAAAAGGGATTTGTCGACCCATTTCAGCCTGTGAACGAGATTGATGGCGTTGAAGTTAGCTGGACGTTGGGCAAGATGGTGCTTTACGCAGCTGGCCAAGTCCCGCCCAAAGGAACGGCTCTCCCGGTCGGATTTGGAAGCAATGTCGCCGGCGCGACGGACTTTGAGCCGGCGGGGTCCAAATTCTCACCCGTTACGATCGAAAATGACGACGATGACGATTGGGATGATGCTGCCGATGAGCTCTTGGACAAGGCCAAGACGAAGTCGGGCTCTGGCCTTCTGGCCTTCATCCTGATCCTGGTAGTCTTTGCTTTTCTTTTGCGCAAGCGTGACCGCCGGTCTCGCTGGTTTGGTAGGGTTGCTTCTGCGGTACGAGGAACTAGGCGTCCAGGCAGTCCCAGGAAGTTCGGACGGGGATTCTCCTTTACCAACAAGCTTTTCGGACGGCCATCGGCGACTTACGAACGGGTTCTTGAGGAGGGTGATGCGGACCAGTTCGAGTTAGGCTCTGTCGATTCAGACGAGAACGAGCACTCCGACAGCAGTGAGGGCTCTAGGGCTGGCCGATCCTCCGGACTTGCCACTCCGAAACTCAACATTGAGCGATTCGACGATGTACGCCCGCCCTTTTCCATGGACCGCGGCGGTTTGGCGGTGAGGACAGAGAGCCGAGAGAGGCTTGTACCAAGTGCGGTCAATGCGGGCCGTCGCAGTCGTGCTGGTAGTCCGACACGGCTGAAGAGCCCGCTGATGAAACCATTGGGTGAGGACTGAGGAAGATGCTGCCCGTGATTTGCAGTGTAAGAATATTCACGCTTGGCAGCGATCGGATGAGTTGTGTTTACCAGTGTTTTTCCCTTCTTGTTCATTCTTTACAAAAAGATGGCGTTTCGGTACGACGGTGCTTCCAAGCATTTTTACCCCGTTAGGAATCGGGAGTGGAGGTAGTTCGGCGTTTTGGTTACAGGAGTGTCATGAGCGGCTTAGACGATATGATTTTGGGATGGCATTGCATGGCATTGAGCTTTTGCAGAACTATTGTTTTTTCCGCATTTGGTATGACGCCGAATTGCCGGTCCTTTCCACACGACTTTTGGACAGGAAATTTACAATCAAGATAGACCAAATGCGTCTACATGTTTCAACGAGAACAAGCCTCTTTATTATCAGGGTATCGACAAGAATGACTACGGACGGGCTAAAAAAGTGAATCTTCTGCATCAATCCTGCGTTCTCTCAAGAAAACTGGGATCGGACCTGACACGGCTCTCAAACTTCTTCCACCACTCCTCGAAAGCTTTCAATGGCACAACCTCGACGCCGCCAGGTCCAGCCGTGCCACTGAAGCTCGCTAGGAAGTTGAAGGCATTCTTGATGATGTTCTGTGCCAAGAGTTGCGTGGACGGCTGGGAAGCGGTCCCCGAATTGGATGACCGGTTCGCGGTGAGCTCCTGGATGCGCGAGAATACTGACTCGGCCGGTTCGACAGAGACGCCAATCATGACACTGCCGTCGTTGGGCACCCCGCCGCCATTGTTGGCGCTGCCCCCAGCGTTGATCTTGAAGGTGGCGCTCTCTTTACCCGTGCCTATGCCGCCGAGGAACTTGAAGTTTGGCGTTTGACCCGTGGCTGTAGCGGTAGCGACATCCGCGGCTGTGGCGAAGTAGATGGCGGCAGCTGTGTCCGGAGGTAGGACGATGCCGGGGAGCAACATGACCGTAATGTGAGAGAAGGGTCGGGCAGCAGATATGGAATAAAGGAATGAGGTTTCTGAGGGCGCCGATGTTGGGTCCGTCATCAGAGGCTGGCCAGCCGGGACGATGCCGAAAAGAGGGCCAGACATTTTTGGTTGGGCAGCTTAACGTAATGGGGAACTCGTGATTAGTTTGTCTAAATCGACGTGACACTCTCGTACCCCTATGCTGATAGTTCTTTTAGTCGTGGAATCGGTGGCGTTTGTGTTCTCGCAAAGCTCTTGGCCGGGTCACCACACACCCAGTATGAGATGGTATAAGCCGTCAATCAAAGTTCTAGTGATGGGATCCAAAGGGATAAGTAGAATTGTACAAGATATTAGTGATTCTCCAAGACAGAAGATTTGATATTATTCGAGGTTGAGATTTCGTCTCTGTGACAGGCGAGACTTTGCGAATCAATGCGAATTTTGATGACTTTGGGAGGGAGTGAGGTAAGGTTAGCAAGGCAGTTCTTGTCATCCTCGAGAGTGGGGGCAGCAGGAAACCCCGAGACGTCGGGAGAAGCGTCGATTGCGTTAGCCAATCATATTCCTATATCAGATCCGCTACTCTGGTAGATGCATGCACGTACTTTCCGACTGCCCTCCATCTGCGTCAGCAGTGACTTACTACCTGGGTAGCCTAGAGCAATCAAGGATTTCAACGTCTATAGGTAGGTGAACCAATTAACCTGTCATCCCATTTCTATCCAACCTCAGGGACTCACGTATTTGTTGAACCAAGTAGGCAGAAGGTACTTATTACATAATCATCTTCTCAAGTCACAGTCAAATCCTTCGTCTCTGCCAACGCCCCACATCTCATGTTACGGACGTTATACTCCCGCCGCATACTCCAATCAGCCATCCGAATTACGACCAGAACCTACTCCCATAAGATGAAGACTTTTACTAACATCGATCTCATCGACCAGGTAGACTCGTGAGAGCCATTCCTCAGTTCAAGCAACTTTTGGAGATTGAACCACGCAGCTGACCAACGATGCAGGTACCCGTACGAACAGGACAAGACCGGGTCTGCTAAGCCGCTTGGGTCTGTCTACACCCTCGTATGGAATGATTCCGAGGGCGAGGTGCCTCTCGGATACGTCCTGCCGAGGGTGGTGGAGAAGCTGCTCGAGGCGCCCGACAACATCAAAGGCGAAGTCCAAGTCAACTCGGAGAAGCGCACCGTTCGCGCCTTTCAGGGGCCGACATTGGAGAGCCGCAGCAAGCTGGCAGCAAATCTGTCAGACTATTGGAGGGCCAACGACGCCTTCCCCATCCTCCGGGGTTGGCGCGACGAGCTGTGGCCTGTTTATGGCCGTCATGGCGAGCTTCTCTTCGACATTGAAAGGGCTGCCTCTGGGTTGTTTGGCGTCATGAGATATGGCGTTCACATGACAGCCTTCGTGCGCTGTCCAGGTGTAAGCCACGGCATCAAGGTCTGGGTGCCGCGCCGCTCTCCAACCAAGTCGACGTTCCCTGGCATGCTGGACAACACAGTTGCTGGCGGGCTGATGACGGGTGAAGACCCGTTTGAGTGTGTAATCCGTGAAGCGGACGAGGAAGCTAGCCTTCCAGAGCAGGTTGTTCGCCACCAGGCAGAGTATGTCGGCGGCGTCACGTACATTTATATCACTGAGTCAGAGGCGGGCGAGGAGGGGCTCATCTATCCCGAAGTTCAGTGGGTTTATGATCTCGAACTACCCGAAGATATTGTGCCGCAGCCAAAGGACGGCGAGGTCGCCGATTTTAGTCTTTGCACCGTTGAGCAAGTCCTGGAGGGGCTGGCACAGGGCAAGTGGAAGCCCAACTGTGCGCTCGTCATCCTCGACTTCTTTATCCGCCACGGCATCCTGACCAGAGATAACGAGCCTAATTACGACCAAATCGTACGAAGAATCCATCGAAGAATTCCGTTCCCTGGGCCGCACAACCAGGATCCATCTCTGGGGGCCATCGACGGTTGAGCCAGTTATATTTCTTGAGAACGGAGGATGCTAGGAGAAGCCCAACCCCCCCTCTCTGTGTTCCTTTGACTCCGACCACCTCTCAGTTCTCGGTTCTTCTCGGACGGATCTAGGCTCGATAGACTTCGTGCTGCCTCTATTTCATGTGCGACTAATCGAACAGAATGGGACTGGAGGTCACCTATTGCGGGCAGTTCCAGTACGTTGTTCATCATTTCTTGATCAACAGGTAAACGTAGTCGACTCTCAGAGGAGTGAGCTTCTTGTAAGGGCCTTCGAGGGACATCAAGAGACCGCCGAAGGAAACATATGCCTTGCTATAACGGGGATATCGTCAGTTTTCAATTGTTGCAGTGTACACTCGGCGCAAGGACTAACATAGTCTGGCCATCGTCGGCGTCCTCGAACTTGTAGATCTTTCCGTAGCAGACGTAGTCAAACATGTCGGCCAGCGTGGGCTCTCGGTCTTGGTTGCCTTTGGTGACGTCCCTCCATCCCTTCTCGTCGTCCTTGCTCCCATCGTGGGCCAGTGAAGTAGCCAAGACTACATGCAGGCTGTCGGACACGGAAGCAGGGAAAAGCTCGATGTTGATGTCAAGGGTCATAAGGGTCTGGTTGTCCGCAGACGTAGCGGAGATACGGGCGACTCGGTCGTACTTGAACTGGTCGTAGTTGGTGACAGTAAAAGACTCCTCAAAGAGGGTCACGTCACCGCTGCCGGACATGCTTGCGAGTGAGGGATCTGAAAGGGCCTTCGAGGCAAAAAGTCCGAGGTTTCGCTATGGGAGGAGGTTCAGAACTTGCCAAATCGTTAGTAGTTGCTCTCGTAGAAGCTTCCAAGGTCGTGGACGGCAGCAGCGGCGGAGTTGCAGCAGGAAGCCCCGCCAAAAAAGCAAAGGGAAAAAAATCCAGGGCAATGGAGTTATCCGGCATAGTAAGCAATTGAAGAACCTTGCTCAAGGTACGTACCTCATGCCTGGCTCAAATTTTTGTAAGTGATGTTCCCCCACCCCCACCTGCCCTCTTCAGCGACGTGGGTAAAGAATAAACTAGGCAAAGACATTTGTTACGACCAAGCAAGGCGTTCACGAGGTGGCGTCTTGTCACAAGCACCAGCTGCTATATTCTACTGATCTTCTTTTTCCTTTGCAGTTGTTGGCTGTTGTTTTTGTCTTGAAATTCGTGGAGTGGAGTAAGCGTGAGTTCGTTTGATGTCATGCACTTGACTTCTTTCTGACACTCGTAGGCACTTGAATAAAGTGGCTTTGAGCCCGCCCAGGACGGCGCGTATTCACCGGATCAGGTGCAGACTGTGTGACTTCATCCACAATAACCAGACACATCACCCACACCATGTCGTTCAGGAAGAAGAACGTTGTTCTCGGTTCATCCGCTAGAGGTCCGGCAAGAGAACCCATCGCCCTCAAGCAGGAAATGTTGCCTCCGGTGGGAGTTCGTCCGTCACCCCTTGACGGCCGCCCTACGATGTCGACAGGGACAGCTTCTCTTGACCAGCTTCTGGCAGGACATGCAGGCCTGCCACTCGGATCTAGTCTGCTTGTTGAAGAGTCCGGGACGACAGACTTTGCAGGTGTTATTCTCAGATATTATGCCGCGGAAGGCCTCGTGCAGGGTCACCAAGTGCATGTGCTTGGGCCGACTGAAGCATGGAAAGGAGAGCTACCAGGTCTTGGTAAAGTCAGCGGCTCAAGTAGAAGCAAATCGACATCTGGATCAGGTGAAAAAATGAAGATTGCGTGGAGATATGAGAGCCTTGGGAAGAATGCTGGCCAAGGTATGTCATCTCTTTCAGTAGCCATGCTCTTTCAATTACAGTCAGGGGCGCTAACCTTCCGTGGCTGGACCCAGAAACGAAAACCGACCCAGCAACTTCTTCTGAAGTTTTTTGCCACGTGTTTGACCTCGGAAAGCGCTTGCAGCCTGGTGATGCCAAGGGTGAACTTCATGCGACACCGTTGGTAGCCGCCATAAGCTGGCTTCAACCCCAGGGATCTGCCAGCTCGTCGCCATTCGATGCTTTCATTACCAACGTCACCGCGAGGCTCAAAGCGTCAAAACCTGGGACCATCCATCGAATATTGGTGCCGACTCTTCTGTCGCCCGCGCTCTACGGCTCCTCTGTTTGCCGGCCGGACGACGCGCTCCAGTTCTTGCACAGTTTGAGAGCGCTGTTGCGCCAGTACAGTGGGAGATTGACGGCCCTGATTTCGCTTTCAACATCATTGTTCCCACGGTCGACTGGCTTTACGAGATGGATAGAGCTGATGTGTGATGGAGTATTCGAAATGCTGCCTCTGCCGCGGAAAGTACACTTGCAGCCGAACACCAAGTCCGAAGATGTGGTGCAGGGTATGCTAAAGGTACACAGCCTTCCTGTCTATCACGAGAGAGGAGGCGGTTTGGAAGGACAGTCTTCCCGGGAGAACCTGTCGTTCAGGTTGAGCAGTTCGAGCGGGCTCATCTTCAAGGCCTACGTGTTGCCCCCTATGCTTGACGATGAAGGAAAGGGGGTAAAGGAGGAGGGTGGGAAGGGAGACAAATTGGACTTCTGATTCGTAACACGAATCCAAAGACGCTCGGAGAATTGAATTTTGCACGTCGCGGAACAGGGTGCCACCAAAAGGCTGATGGACTCCGACTGTGATGCCTGATAGTTGTGCACACGCAGTGGAAGCCCCTTGTACATTGTACTTCGTGCTTCACGCAAACACTGGAGCTCCTCTGGAGACTCAAGACTTAGGGGACCCGATGGTCGATGTCGCCTGATTGTACAACAAGTAACGTGAAGCCACAGCCGCATGTGAGCTACACCTCTTCTCCGAGTCAAGTCGCAAAGAAGACTGGTACCTGTTCTAGATAGAGGAGATACGGTAGTAAAAGCTCAGATGCGGTAGGACCGGAAACGCACAGCCACAGCGCCACAGAGCAAGACGGTGAAGATACTGCCTGACCGCCCTGCTCCACTAGCATGCCTGGCTGCGAGCACTGCAAAACTACAATCTCTCCAAAAAATTCTCCCTGCTCCTCCTTTCCTGACTCCAACAACCAAGCGTCAGGGTAAGTCATCGAATCGTCTTTTTCCTATTTCCTCCTCCAAAAGTTCAAATGATTAAACATTCAATCTCAATCAATCTGTCAATCCACTGACACTCTGTGACGATACCTTTCATTAACGAAATATGATTCTTGTGGCTTCCACACCATTTCTCGCGCGTTTTGCACAACCCAGTTCATCTCAATCAGTTGCTAATATTTTGGGACTGTAGGAAAGAAGTTTCAGAAATCCCTGGGACAAGGCGTGACGCAAGTCATCAGCATGGCAGCGTCGGAAGTTTCCGTAACCCCTCCAGTGCGTATCTCCAAGATCGCAGACCGCTATCTCGTCTTCGACGCCCAAGATGTGGCCATCATCCGGCGCAACCACAACATCTGCTCCGTGCTGGTGGGGACTACACCCCAGAATCCAACACAGAACGTGTTTTTGAGTCTTCCACTTGAGTTACTGCCTGAAGAGGCCAGCGTGCTCGTCGAGAAGAAGGTAGGCCATCTCGTCGACGAGGCTTCGCACCACTTGTCGTCCCTTCGCTCCCCGGACGGGGCCACCCGCCAAGCCTACATTGCACTTCTGAAGGATCGCCGGCACACGGCCCAGAAGCTACTGGCCGAGGACCAGGCCAAAAGGGCAGCCACGGAACAGGCGCGGAGGGCCAAGGGCGCCAACTTACCTCCTGGTGACCAATTGGACCCGTTTTCTTCAGAAACTCCCATGTTGGACAGTCTTGCTAAAACTTGTGATGGCGTGGATGTTAAGTCGTCTTTGACGGTCACACCAACAACCAGCGATGGCCTGCAGGCTATTTCGAAGGATTCGTTGGACTCGGTACCTCAGCCTGCTGCTGGCCCGTTGCATCGGCATCTACAGTCCAAGGGCTACTTCATGACGCCTGGCCTGCGGTTTGGCGCCGATTACAGTGTGTATCCTGGCGATCCACTGCGATACCACGCTCATTTCCTCGCCACAAACTACGACTGGGATGAGAAGATTCCCATGCTTGATGTTGTTGGTAGTGGTCGCCTAGGGACGTCGGTCAAGAAGGGCTTCTTGTTTGGCGGCGAGGTGCCCGACCTAGACAGCCCCAGGAGGCAAGTGCGCACGTTTTGTGTGGAATGGGCTGGGATGTGAGATTAATTCAGGGCCAAGAATGACTGTGAACAAAGAATACCGCTTGATGCTAAGCTTATAACTTCTGTACAATACCTTGTCCACAAGATACCCCATTTCGTCGATCGAGACTAGTGTCCCAAATAGCCATAAACGAAGACATGACTCTCGTGTTCTTAGTACCACAACATTGCCTTGTCGGGATATCTCCCTAACAGGCTGGATTGGCCGTCTCATTATACCTACCTACCTGACACTCAAGGAACATAAATCCTGCTGAAACTGATGACCTCCCTACGACAGCAGACGCACTTGTCAAAATTGTTCATGGCAAGTGATACGCGACAGTCGTCGCACAAGCTCAGGCAGCGGCACGGCCACACGATGATGGTACGAGGAGAACTCTGGCAGACGACACATTGTGGACCGTCCGGACCAAGACCGGCGGCACCCTCGGCCCACGTCGATGCACCATCGTCCACAGAACGTGGAGATTGAACGCGGCGAGACAGTAGCAACTGTTCCAAGCGTTGAGCCTCCTCGTCTGGCGTCATCTTGACCGGCCGCATCATGATACGACTGGCTCGTCCGGCCGGCTGTAAGATCCTCGTCCTTTGTAGCTGCTGCGACTTTCGATACTGTGATCGGGTCATGATCCTGTCGCTGCTCAGATGAGCAGCTAAAGCGTGGGCCTCCTCTCTCTCCTCCGGGTTGCTCGGGTGCAGCAGGCGTGCAAGTTCTGACAACTCGAGCGAATCCTCAGGGACTGGCGTGGCTTCCCGTAAAGCCCGGGGCCTGGTCTGCGTAGGTGTTCGCTGTCCATCCTGTTCTGACTCCCATTCGCTGTCATTGTTGGTGCTGATAGACACGACGCTGGTGGCATCATCGTCGTCTGTATCGCCAGACGCGTAGGGTTGGTATTCGCCGCTGTTGTCTTTCGAACCCCACCAACCCCCTCTGAGCCACCATCCGTAGAGCCTCGAGTCAAGATCATCCTCATCGATGGCAGCCCAGCTCTGGCTTCCTCTCCATGCTTGCTGCCTGAACTCGGATTCAACATCAACACCATCAATTTTGGGGATATTGAGGAGTGACTCGACAGAGTCTCCAGGCGCATGTACACGACTTCCGCTGCCACTAGGGTTCGAGCCCCTCGTATCATTAGCAACCTTTGGCCGACGAATAATCCAAAGCAGAAACTTTGGATGGCGAAGACCAATTTTGGAGAGAATTTTCAGCATGGCTGTTGCCCATGTTCGGAATATCAGCCTGTTGATATTCATGATGAAGTCCAGCGCCATCAACCACCTGCCGCTTCTTTCCGCAGCACCAACACCATCCCTTAGCCGTCTATCTCCAGATCGGGACTTGGGCACCTTCTGAGCTGCTCGTTCCCGAGCGTACCCATTCGTAGCCATCATATGATCATCTTTCACGGGTACCAGGCCGATGGTACCTATGGTGTCGTAATGGGAGTCAGTGGCGCCTGCTCCGATCCACTGCGTCCGCAGCTCCTCGAGCTCTCGATATCTCTCCTCCTCGAGCCACGTATAGGGTCGCATAGTGACATCCCTGTCCTCATTCAGGTAAACAGCTTCGCTTGCCATAGTGATGGCGCCAAAGCCAGTTCGTAGCAGGGCTGTGTAGAAATCCATTTCCATGCTAATGCGGATGTCGGACAATGAAAGGTTGGCTTGCATGTTTGCGTGGGCATGAGCTAACCGTTCCCGAAGACTGGTTCTCTGACCTGTCTGTCCATCTGCAGGAGTAAGAGCGGCTAGACCAAGAGCAAGAAGGTATATGAACAAACAGACAAGGATGCCACCGAGAACAAGTACATGGGGAATGAAGCCAATGATACAGACAGTAGGAAATCTGAGCAATCCTTGTTTCGCTGGGTCGTCCAAAGAGAAGGTAAAGGCACTCCAGAGAATGCTCGCCATGAAGCAGAGACCCCAGAAACCAGTACTAACAAGCCGGAATTTGGCTTGCAGATTGAAAATGCCCAGCACATGGCTGGTGATGTGACTCATGGCCGAAAGGAAAGCGATCAGCAAGACCTCAGGCGAGGTGTTGACTCTTCTCAATATCATGGAGCGGCTGATGGCAATTGAACCACCGGCACTGGACGTGGCTTCTGCTGCTTGTGACTGAGTGAACAAACCCCAGCCAAGTTGGTTACTGATAGCAGCGTCGGCTTCTGCGAAAGCAAGAGAGTGTTCGAATAGCGTCATGCCCGTCTCGGCTGCTACAGGGCGACCCTGAACGGCGCAGGAGACGGTCTCCAGGAATTGGCTTAGACAGAAAGTGCCAAAGAGTGGCCACAATAGAGACAAGGAGCCCCGCAAGTCCTGTGTCGCATCGTCAATATCTGCCGGCACCATGCCCACAGCCGTGCAGGATTCTTCGTCTGAAGCGCCAAGCAAAAGTGTAGAACTCATGGTGTGTAGGAAGCCCCCAGTTTGGGAGAACATGAGTTCAGAACTCTTGCTTGTGTTTCCCCATCGCATTTCGGAGAAGTCAGGAGAGGTCTGGCACTGAATCGAGCGAAGGAGCCCGCGGGCTTGCACCAGGAACAGAAGGACTGGAAGGCCGCGGAGCAGAAGCCGAACGGATAAGGTGAGACGCAAGCGTCGACGTGTAGCAGCAAAGATATGGGTGCGGTTGAGGACGATGGCCATGGCAATACAGCAGAGCGCCCATTTGCTTGTAGCATAGCTGAAGACGCTGCCAAGCCCTTTCGCGCCCTCCATGGTGAACTTGGGGGAGACACCACTGATATCCGGATCGGCCAGAGCAGCAGGCCCGTGACCATGAGGAAGGACTATCGGAGGCGGTACGTCCATGCTGGAGGCGCCAGTGGTTGCGGCGTCGGTAGTGTGTAGGAAACCAGAACTTGTAGCTTCAGGAATGACTCTCTGGCCTAGGGCGTCAAGTGAATCAGGAAAGGGTAGGTAGGCCGTGAGCTTTCGAACCATTCTTGGACCAGCCCATACCAGGTCTTCGAGGGAAGGCGTGAGCTTAGTGACGTTAACGGCGTATTGAAGTCGGTAAGCGGTCCACAGCGAGAGGTTTTGCCAGATCCCGGGGTTATCCAGCGAATCAGGCTGATGAGGAGTGTCCATGATCTGCTGAAAGGAACACTCGTATTACGATCGAGTTTCGACGAGGGAAACGACAGCAGCCTTATCGCTCGGAGCGGCTGGATACGTCGCGACACGGATCATGAGCGGTGAAATCGAAGGCGACGGAACATGATGCGGACAAAGAGCAGAAGTAGATATCCAGTCAGAGGAGTCGTAGCTGGTGATATTGTTGTTGAGGGGGAGGAGGTGGGTGGGGGACGACGGTTTGTAGATTCAAAGACCAGGCGTCAGCGGTATTTTATTGAAGGTCGAGTTTGAGGTCGGTCGGTCGGTCGGTCTCGGTAGGTCGAAAAGTTACAGGATCGGAAGTTGGTAGATGGAAGGTAGGAGGGGGAAGGGGTGGACGAAGAGGAGACGGACGGAAGCTCGGATGCGATGGGCGGGATCTTGTCGCGTGCGACGGATAGCTCGCTACTGCGCAGTGAGAAACGCTCCACCGGGCTGTATATGCAGTAGGCTACCCTTACCTGGCGGATACTGCAAAGACCGAGGGGCTGAAGCCGGGCCATGGAGCCTTGCCCATTAGACTGTCTGCTTGGGGTAAAGTGGGTACTGCAGAGGCACTGACAGGCGTACCGAAGGCGGTGTCCACACCTGTCCAGTTATTCGGTAGTGAAGGTATCCAGTTTTGGGGCCCGAGCGAAGAGGTACGTCACTGTTCACTTCTAGTCAGAACGAACGTACTTGCGGTGGTACTCATCAAATTTCACATGCCAGAAACACTATTCACGTCTCGGGCAATAGAGGTGTTGATCAACCAAAGGCACTTTGTTTGCTCATTTCTCAATAACAAGTGCCTGCGAGATTGTTACTCTCGGTTACTCTTTACAGTGTTGAACAACCCCTATCGTCAACATTTGTGTGTGCAATGCCTTGCCTGCCGAAACCCTTCAAACTCCACTTCCGGGGCCCTACAACAAGTACAACAATCGCAGACTTCCCTCGTCCAAACTCCCAAACGGGCATAGAGGCATTCCTGCCAGCAGTCATTGGTGTTGTCGACAGTGATTTCGTGATACCCGCTAAAACTTCGGTTTGTATGAATGAGCGACCTTCTCAAAGTAGCCTTCCATGTACCATGAGCTTTGTTCACTGTATCGCCACCTCGTTCCCCTTCTTCCCAATGCTCGAGATCTCAATGGTCGAGGGAACACAAGTTTTTCGTTGCCCTGAGCGCTTCATAGTAGATATCAAATCTGCAAGGCCCTTTTGCTCGCGAACGATGCGGGAAACCCTTCACTCATGGAAGCATAAAGGAGTCGGCAATGGCTCGCGGCCCAGAATGTATGATACTCCGCCGATTCGCTCAGGCTTGGATTATCTAGCTGTTTGGGGGTTGGTTGTTTTGGAGTCTTTCCAGAACCGCACGATAGTTGCCCTTAGATGCTTGAATAGCACGGCCCACGAGTTTCGTGTGCAGTAAAGGGTCCGACGGCGAAAGCTGGCCCTTCACCCAGAGATTGGTAATCTCGGCACGACTTGGTAGATAGGCGACGCAACAAGCGGCCAGAATATCTTCGTGTTCCAAGGAGACTGGATCCAACACAATGGATGGCTTGGCCATGTCGCCCTGGTCCGACGCAACAAGAGCTGCAACGCCGCCGGTGACCATGTCCACACAATCGATGCCAGCGTCCGCAAGAGCTGCTGCAGCAACAGTAATGCACCCACTGAGAACGTTCATCATGTCCCATTCCTCGTTGCCCTGAAAATGGGAAGCCTCTCGCTCCTGGTCGCCTTCAACAATAGTAACAATAACATCAACGCCGCTCTTGGGCCATCGGTCGGCGATGATGACTCCACGAAGAGCCGTATCAAGATGAACGCCAATGTCTCTTTCACTCGAGTCGCGTAGGTAGTTGCGGCGCTGACGCGTCGCGAAAGGAGCGTACTTGACATGAGTTGAGAGCACTAGGTAGGGTGAGAACGGTGCAGATCGGGGAAGCGAGCGAGGCCCATGAACTGTGCAGATGAGCTTCATGCCATTGGCCTTGGATTTTGAGTCCACATGGCCGTGAGGCGGCTCGACTTCCATGTAGGCCGATCCTGAAGCTGTTGGGGTCACCCCAGTCTTGAGAACTTGTCATTGTCAGTGTCATGAAGCGTCGATAAGAAGGTGAGAGTGAACCAACACAAGCCCCGGATGCCGTTTGCCGGCCTTGCCCGGGGAGTTGAGGTTGGGCTGGGGGTGTCGTAGACCGGCGGTAATGTTGCACCGGGCGGCCCGTTGATTCTCCGCCGATCGGTCATCTTGAGAGACAGATATCGAGAAAGATAGTGTGGTCGGTTGAGAGTATGAGGACGGTGTGTATCCGATGCCGATAGCTGGCCAGCGGTGGCTTAGCAACGGATCGAGTTCGTAAACCCTTCCCAGTGTTGTCTAAATTCTCCAGCTCGATTTCGATAGGCTGCAATTTGGAGAGTGGAACGATCCTGTTATTGTTGTCTGTAATCGTCGCTCGACCATAGGCACTCAGGTTGGGTTGAGGTGAATTTTCACCAGACGGGCTCTGAAAGAACTCGGTTAGACGCATTGATCTTGTTGGCGCTGACTCCACCCCAGGACCTACCTAGTGAGTTCAAGTGGAGATATGTTATTAAGCCATATTACGAGCAAATACTTCAAGCTCAAAAAATTCTGCAATGCTTTTGATTTTCCATCAACCACAACCACTTCTCCTGGCTTCCATGATTCCGTTGTCAACGGCAGCAAACATGCTGCGGCCTTGAGGCCAGCGTCAAGGAATCATGTGCACATGTTGTAAGTTTTCAGCATTTCTCACTCCATCTTCCAATTACATGATGTATATCATACACACCGTTCCCGCGAACTCCTGAGCGCAAGAACAAACATGCATCACCATCTGACCTTAGCCCTATTGGATTTCGAACAACCATTTGCACTGGCAGTTGAGGCAATTGCTGACTCAGACTCCAGGATCTCATACCCGGCGACAGCATCGGCCTTGTGGCTTGACTGTTATGTCCATACTTTTTTCTTGGTAAGTCATCAGCAAATTTCTTTTCCGCGTTTTCGCGAGATCCATCCTCCCGATGATTGTCGACTATGATGAAGAACCTATTCATTCAGTTCTGCTACTGAACACTGTGATGATACCCATATACCAAAAACCTTGTCTGATTCGACTGAACCTCTATCTTTCCGCTGCATCTTGTTGAGATGGACTATTTGGCTGACCAAGAAGTGTCTCAAGTAGGAAATACAATACCAGCTTGAGTATCGTTGATCTCGAGTTGTGGTCAGCTCTACAATGGATCATCGCTCGCAAACTCTAACCACTAGGTAGGATCCCCCCCCCTTATTCGTCCAGTGCCCAAGCTGCATGCTTGCCCATCACCATGATGACCATAGCTTATCCATTCAACTATCTCACGCCAGCCGAGTCATCCTCCCACACTAGAGCATCTTTTCGGAGAAGCGAGGAAGGTGGTGGAGTTGGTTCTCTTGAGGACCGTTATTTGACTTCAGTGTTTCGCTTCCCGGTTCTTCGTTCTGAGGTTCCGGGCTGTCGAGGCCGGCTTGGCTGAATGAGTAAAACCGGCTTGCCTGACCCGATGGCATCATCTAGCTTGGGCACAACACATGCCATATTTGCACCCTTGCTAACATCGATCTTAATCAGGCTTTTCAATAGTTCCGACACCTGTGATGCATGCCCTGCCTGCCATTGTCCTTCGCGTGATGACCCTAAAGTGTGTACCCAATACGTATTCGAAATTGATCACTGCGCTCATGGGGAGTAATGACTTGAAACTTAAATCGGTTTTCTTATTACTATCGGATGACTAGCTGCCTCCGAGAATAGGCGGTTTATACTTGCCCGTGAAAGATGTTCCACATTCATGCTCTCCGTTTTTGGGGCCGTAAATGTGCGTACTCCCGCCAATACAGTCTTCCCATCATAGGTCGATGGTTTTTGGTCGTTGATGGGGATGGCAAATCATCAATTATCTGCTCCTCGGGACCGAATTTGGGTCGGAGTGTTGAGCGCTTAAGATCATCATCAGCAGAAACCAAACGGTGACCTGTTCATCTTGCTTGTCTGTAACGTTTCCTCCAGCTGCGGTTCGAAAGGGGCCAGAGAGCTTGCTTGTTTGTACATGTGGGTTGCCAAGAGTGCCTTAGCCGGGTAATGAGTTATGCCAGTTGCTGCTTGGCTTGGTTGAGCTCGTGCCGTCGGGTTTCTAACAAGCCACTTCCTTCTTCGTAGTTCCTTTTTCGTTGTTTTCATTTACATGGCGCCAGATGTTACCATATGGGCTGACTTGTCTCGGTTTCCTTCCACAGGATATAAAGTCAATCAAATCAGTGTAGTCAGCTGTGATTTTCGTAGGTAGACGGAGAGGCAGTTGGACACTGTGTCCTGGCGTACGCCCAACAATACCTTATGCCACGACGGAAGGGAGTCTCGAGTGTGAGACCATCTTTCTCGCTCTCTTTAGTGTGTGTGTTTTTGTTTATCGGCCATGCGCCGTGGAAAGGGTGAGGTGCACGTGTACGGCGTCAAGGTAGCTTATCTAAGCTCCCTACATTGGCTACTATCCTTGAGGCAAGGATGAGCTGAGAGATGTAGCCCAGCTGGTATTCTGTCCAATCACGTCACATTATGGTCACAGTCAAGACATCTGAGTTGGGCCGACTGCCCCGAGGCAAGGTACTTACCCCCGGGGCACTGTGAGAGATTTGGGGCGCTAAAAGGGAGGAGCGAAGGTTGTAGCAGTACCCCTTGCGCAGTACATGTAGTACTCATACAAGGGAGTGCTAGCCAAAGTACCCTCGGGTCCATTTGGATGACAGAGAGGCAGTCTGAAAATAAAATAATACGTAGTCAAAGCTGGGTGTTCCACGACCAGACCCCGTATCCTGTCGCATCTCCTTTCCACTGTATTTCAACCACATACATCCCAAGACGCGCCGAGTGGCCTCTCACTTCGACGACAGCCGAAAGCTAAACGACATCTTGATCGCGGCTTCGACGACAATCTGCCAACGTTCGCTCACCCAACCTGCATTCTCCTGGTCGTCTGATTACAACCTTTGTTCCTCTTGGTTCTAGATGCTCTCCTTTGCTTAATCCTCACAACTCCCAAGAGCTGGGCGAGGTGCTTTACTATCAACTCTCCACCCTCTAGCTCAAGCTTGGAATCGGGATTTGAAATTCCACCCCGGCGCCCTGGATGTTGCCATCGTATGCTTCCTCGACCACCTCCAAGGTGGTGCCCCGGCATCATGCTAGTGGCTACTCCAATGGATACCCAAGGGGAAACACCTTTGAGATCTCCCCTCACAGGTAAAAGAAGATGCATTATGCCGCTGCTACATGTCCCCCTCCATCCTTTTACATGGCGCCTCAACTGACCCTTTCTGCTCTATCTGATAGATACCAGCCGCGCGCATCAACACCTGCAAACCGTCGCCGCCAGCGCCTATTAACCCGCCTCATCATCGTTGCCGCTGTCGCCATCCTCTTTCTCGTCTTCGTTTGGCCTGGGGCTTCCTTGACGTCCATCTTTTCCCTCGGCCTGTTATCCGCCGGCAACGAGCTACAACTGGAGACAGTGCGATACTATGACCTTAGCAATGTGCAAGGGACCGCCCGTGGCTGGGAACGCGAGGAGCGCATTCTCCTCTGCGTGCCTTTGAGAGACGCCGAGCCGCATTTACCAATGTTCTTTTCCCACCTGCGAAACTTTACCTATCCTCACCACCTCATCGACCTTGCCTTCCTCGTTTCCGACTCCAAAGATCGCACCCTTCAGGTCCTCTCCGACATGCTTGAAGAGATCCAGGCCGACGAGGATACGAAGCAGCCCTATGGAGAAATCTCCATCATTGAAAAGGACTTCGGACAAAAGGTGAACCAGGATGTCGAGAGTCGCCACGGTTTTGCTGCTCAGGCAAGCAGGCGAAAGTTGATGGCCCAAGCCCGGAACTGGCTTCTGAGTGCTGCATTACGTCCTTACCACTCTTGGGTATACTGGCGTGATGTCGACGTTGAGACGGCCCCTTTCACCATTCTGGAGGACCTCATGCGGCACAACAAGGACGTCATCGTGCCAAGTAAGCCTCGACCCTTACTATGAGCCCGCAGGACTCAGGCTAATCAGTTGCAGATGTATGGCGTCCTCTGCCTGATTGGCTCGGTGGCGAGCAACCATACGACCTCAACTCGTGGCAAGAGTCAGAGACAGCACTGGCTCTTGCGGACACCCTTGACGAGGACGCCGTGATTGTTGAAGGTTACGCTGAATACGCAACATGGAGACCTCATTTGGCATACCTGCGAGACCCATACGGAGACCCAGACATGGAGATGGAGATTGACGGAGTGGGTGGTGTCAGTATCTTGGCCAAGGCAAAGGTTTTCCGCTCGGGGGTTCATTTCCCAGCTTTCAGTTTTGAGAAGCACGCCGAGACAGAAGGATTTGGGAAGGTGAGATGGTTCCACCCGTAGCCTCGAAGGCAACAGTGCTGACGTTCGCCACGTAGATGGCAAAACGGATGGAATACTCTGTGGTCGGTCTACCGCACTACACAATTTGGCATCTTTACGAGCCCAGTGTGGACGACATCAAGCACATGGAGGTACGTCGCTTTTTTAACTCGCAGAGGTGAGTGTGGAGCTAATGTGGCACAGGAGATGGAGCAAGAGAGGCTCGCGAGAGAAAAGGAAGAAGAAGAGAAGGCCGAGAAGGCCAAGAAGGTTAAGGAGCAGTTCGGAGATGCAAGCAGTCAGTGGGAGAAAGACAAGTCGGATATGCAACATCTAGTGACGGAAGAAAAGAAGACGAAAGACGGCAAGGAGACGAAGGAGGCCAAGGAGGTGAAGATCGTTGGAGACAAGCAGCCGGCGGCAGACAAGGACGAAAAGCCGGCAAAGGAAAAAAAAGAGAAGAATGAGGCTGCTTTCGTTAAGAAGGCGGAGAGTTGAGAACATTAAAGGGTTGATCGCAATGGCGCTATCGCATTTGGACTTCTACATTATTATGGTGGGGGATCATTGTCTGTGGTTAAAGGACGACTCTTCGATGATGTTGGCCATAAATGGTCTGCATGTCTCAAGGATGCGAGAACGGTTTTGATCTCCCACGACGTCGACATATGTACACTATTACTCTCAAATGATCTGGACAGGGATATTTTGGAAAGGCGTTGGTCTAGTCTCCAGCGGCGGTATTTGAGGTCTTCAAGAAGACCACAGAATGGGCACTGCCTTAGGTATAAAAATGGCTTACGGTGTCAGGAGTCACACATTTTACGTCCTTGTGGTTGTTGTTGTTCGCGTTGTTCTTTGGTAAAGATGTGTTTACTTGTAGATAGGCCATTTGATAAAAGAAAGCTGTCAACTATCTATGTTGCCTACCTAATGCTTGGTGGGAGAAAGGCGTCACGTGTGTCTAACTACATACGACTTACACTCAGGGAAAGTACAAAGTTGGAGGCCGGAGATACCAGCAGCTTTGCTGGGCACACTGTACGCTAGACATGGGTGTTTGGGTGCGTCCAGCGCTGAACCGCCCACAAGCCTTATCGGCTGGTGTCTTATCGAGTCACTGGAAGCCCAACGCTCAGCTCAAAGGTACCTTGCAGCAGTACTCTCGACGTACCCAAGCCAGGGCGGTACTATGTGCTGGAGCTCCATCTGCATCTGCAACCTGGTCAATTCCACCTCGGGATTCTTTTTTGGCGACAGCTTGGACAAGACACCTAAATCCCAACGGCCCCAAATCTCCCGACTGCTAGCCCCGAGGCACGATATCGAACGGCTCTACGGACACCTGTCCTCGATCACCCTTCCTCTTCCTTTCGACTGGACTTCATAATAAGACAAGCAAACAGACCTGAAAGCGAATTGTCTGTTTAGCCTCTACATCACCCTGTCATCGCTTTTCCACCACCGAGAGCAACGAGTTCACCCCAGACCGAACTTCGCGCACATTCAAGTACCACGCGTCCACCACCAGATCATGAGTCGAGATGGCGATGAATTACTACATACCGAAACGGCTTCTGCCGTCGGCACCCGTTCCAGTGTAGACATACGCCGCGCTGGAGGTACTCCCATGATTGCGCCGAGGATGCAATATCGAAGTCGCCCCGTATCAGTCGCTGTAGATCCCGTTTCCCTGGTCATGTCCGAATGCATATCAATCACCTCCGCGATCCAGAAACATGCGCGATCTCCCCATTCCTCCGTGTCGGCCATATTGGGCGGGAACCCAAACCCCATTAATCTGGGGTCCCCAAACCCCTCGACAAGGGGCGCTTCCAAGACATCAGGGGCTGGACTCGGGATAGATGGTGCTCAGGATATTGTTTCTGCCAACAGATGGGGTTTGCGTGGGAAGAAAGGCCGCAGCATACAGGACAATCCTTTAATGGCCGGCTTCGGGAAGCTTCGCCATGAACTGGCCAGCGTTAGAGGTAGGATCCAAATTCCCTCTTGACTAACTCTACATAACAAATCTCTACTGGAACCGTCCTGTTGACCATGGTGCGCCTCAGATATCCACTCGTTCGATGCCCTTTCTCTCCTGAACCCGTTCTTGCAGATAATTCAGACCAAAGGCACTGCGGCGCCTATAACGATCCTCACGTTGGGAGCCCTCCGCAAGTTTCTAGCCTACGGCTTCATCAGCCCCACCTCTCCACGATTCGCTCTCGCAATGCAGTCACTGTCTGCAGCGGTGACTCGTTGTCAGTTTGATGGAAGCGATGCCGGTCAGGTGGAAGTCGTTCTGCTGATGATCCTACACCTGATGGAAGACATGATGTCAGGCCCGGGAGGAGATATCCTGAGTGATGAGAGTGTCTGCGACATGATGGGCAGGGGATTGGCAATCTGCTCCCAGCCTCGATTTTCGCCCGTTTTGCGTCGAACCGCCGAAGCGTCTATGGTTCGCATGTGCCAGATCATATTTGAAGACGTCAAACATCTTGAGGTGGAAGCCGGTGACGAGTCCGATGCTCTTGATAAGCAGACAAGCGCGGACATGGATAGCGTCAAGATGGACCCCGTCACCAACACTGCATCAGGCTTGCAAGTAACCAGCTCTGAGCAGGACGCGCGCTTGTCCACATCCAGCTCAACACCTTTGGAGGCAAACCCCCGTTCTCAAATTGGCTCTGAGTCCGGAGATAGTAAGGACGACATCGGAGCAGGCGTCGGGGCCGAGGGTGAAGTGGACGTCGATGGTACAGAGAGCTCTGATTCTCTTGACCTCCGGCCTTACTCCCTGCCCTCTGTACGAGAACTTTTCCGGGTTCTGGTCAACTTCTTGGACCCCAACGACCGTCAGCACACAGACACGATGAGGGTCATGGCATTGCGCATTATTCATGTGGCTCTCGAGGTCTCCGGGCCATCCATTGCGCGACATCCAGCTTTGGCTGGCATCGCCGAAGACAGGCTTTGTTGCTATCTTTTCCAACTCGTCAGATCCGACAACATGGCTATCTTGCAGGAGTCACTTATTGTTGCTGGAACATTACTGGCCACATGTCGCGGCGTACTCAAGCTACAACAGGAGCTGTTCCTCTCCTATCTTGTCGCATGCCTCCATCCGTCGGTGGAAATACCTCGCGAACCCGGCATCGATCCATCGCTGTACGCCGGCATTCCCCAATCACCGAAGCTTGTCAAGCCTCCGCCATCGCAATCGAGTAGTGGGCGCTCAACGCCAGTACCTGTCAAGGACCGACAGAAGCTTGGGCTGGAGGGCGGCGCAAGGAAGCCTGACGCGAGACAAGCAATGGTCGAAAACATTGGTGTGCTGTCGAGAATGCCAACTTTCATGGCCGAGCTCTTCATCAATTACGATTGCGACGCTGACCGAGCGGATCTGTGCGAGGACATGATTGGTCTTCTTTCTCGTAATGCCCTGCCGGATTCTGCAACGTGGAGCACGACGAGTGTTCCACCGCTATGTCTGGATGCACTACTTAGATACATCCAGTTCATAGCTGAACGACTGGATGAGTCGCCTGTCGTCGATGGTTACCCCGACGCTACAGAACTGCGGGAGCAGAGACGCAAGAAGAAGATCATCATCAAAGGGACCAGCAAGTTCAACGAGAACCCTAAGGGTGGGCTCGCATATCTCGAGGCCCAGGGCATCATCGCAGATGTCAAGGATCCCGTTTCCGTTGCTAAGTTCTTGAAAGGCACTTCCCGAGTGTCCAAGAAGGTTCTCGGTGAATACCTCTCCAAGAAAGGCAGTGAAGGCGTACTGGAAGCGTACATGAACCAGTTCGACTTCTCTGAAAAGCGCGTGGACGAGGCACTTAGGGGACTTTTGGAGACATTCAGGTTACCAGGCGAGTCGGCCTTGATCGAGAGAATTGTCACTTGTTTCGCAGACAAATACTGCTCTAAGGCGAAGCCGACAGAGGTCGCTAACGCTGACGCCGTTTTTGTCCTAACATACGCCATCATCATGCTGAATACTGACCAGCACAACCCTAATCTCAAGGGTCAGAAGCGCATGACAGTGGAGGATTTTGCGCGAAACTTGAGGGGCGTAAATGACGGCAAGGACTTCGCTCCCGAGTATCTGCAAGAAATTTTCGACAATATTAGGACGAACGAAATTATCTTGCCCGACGAGCACGACAACAAGCACGCTTTTGACTACGCTTGGCGCGAGCTTCTCGTCAAGTCGGAATCAGTGCGGCCTCTGGTTCTCTGCGAGACAAACATCTACGATGCTGACATGTTTGCTTCTACCTGGCGGCCAATTGTGTCTACGCTATCCTATGTATTCATGTCCGCCACCGATGATGCGGTATTCGCCAGGATTGTCACTGGGTTTGATGAGTGCGCTCGGATTGCAGTGAAGTATAAGAACACCGAAGCTCTAGACCAGATCATCTACTCTCTCAGTCACATGACAACGTTGGCTACCGAAATGCCTTTCAATACGAGCCTGAACACGGAGGTTCAGGCTGGCGAGAGCAGTGTCATGGTGAGCGAGTTGGCGGTCAAGCTCGGGAGGGACTTCAGGGCGCAGCTGGCGACTTTGGTACTCTTCCGAGTCGTTACTGGTAGTGAGGAGTTGATCCGAGACGGCTGGAAACACGTATGCCAACCTTTTCTTGCCGAACTCTTTCTGCTCATAGGGCTAATATCCTCTAGATCACCCGTATCTGGCTCAACCTTTTTGTCAATTCTCTTGTCCCACCTTTCTTTTCTACGGACTCTCCAGTTTTGGACATTACCCCGATCCCGCTTCAAACCCCATCCCAAGTTATTGATCGAGCAGCCAAGACGGTGGAAACCGGCTTCTTCTCTGCGTTCACGAGTTACATCTCAAGCTATGCAGCAGATGATCCTCCAGAGCCCTCAGACGAAGAGTTGGAGAGCACTCTCTGCACTGTCGACTGCGTGAACTCTTGTCATATGGGCAATGTCTTTGCTAACATCTCGTAAGTCGCCATATCTACAAGAGGCTGAGGTTTACTAACATGCCCAATCTAGCAAGCTTTCGCCTCATGAGTTGGAGCCGCTGGTTGATGCCCTGCTCAATGCGCTGCCAGAAGATCGTAGCCCCACGGTCATAGTTGTGAAGTCGGAGAACGTACCAGCGGCGCCCATGAACGGTCAGAAGCCAGCGCAGACGAGCGTTGTGTACGACCCTGCCATGGCCTACATCCTTGAGTACAGCACAGTACTCGCTCTCCGAGACCAAGACACCGTCCAGCTTGTTGGCAAGCGAGTCATTGAAGCACTGCAAGCTGTGCTACGAGATGCTGGAAATTACCACTACATCATCGTTTCAAGAGCTACTTTCTACCTCCTCAAATTACTACAAGTTAGTTACGTACGTATTTTACCCTCCATCTATTCCATTAGAGGGACATTTTATCTTATTTACCTTACTACATAGGCTCATGACTACATCAACGTTCCGGTTCTATTGCACACGATCTCAAGCTTTGCAAAGGAGGTTCTGGTAAAGACTTCCGTCTTGGTCCTTCAGGGGTTAAGGCTCTGCATTGACGAGCCCAGCCCTCTACGCAACGAAGTCATGACCTCTCCAGACTTTTGGGCTATTATGCGAGCATTGGCAGGGCGGCAGGAGTCTGCGCCCCTCGTTTTTGACATCCTCGAGTTGGGCTGTGGAGGCGCACCACCAGCGATTATTGCAGACAATTACGAAGCCGCGATCTCTCTCCTTGGTGACTTCGCCTCTGGAGCTGGACGGGCTGTGCTTGCGGAACGCAAGCTCGACGCCCAACAGCGCAAAGCACACGAAGGAGCTCGTGAGAAGACAAAGTAAGCAGCAAGTTTCGCCTATAGATTTTGAGCTAGACTAATGGGCCAGCAGTATCAATGAGGCTATTGCACGCGGTTCCAAGGCGGTCAATAGCATCTACAACATGACAGCGCGTATTCCCTTCTTGATGAAGCAGTCTCACCTAGAGAGCAATGAAGGTAAGCCGGCATCTCTTAAATGTGGATAACTCGAATGCCGAGACTAACGGGGTCTTCAAGCCTGGTCCGCTTACTGGCTGCCTGTTTTTCAAGCACTCACAACTCAGTGCACGAACCCATGTCGTGACGTACGCCTCCAAGCCTTCACCTCGCTGCAGCGGTCGTTGCTCTCCCCTGATCTCACTTGCAGCGACCACAAGGAGTGGATAGCCATCTTTGGCGAGGTCTTGTTCCCACTGATCCACAAACTTTTGAAGCCAGAAGTCTTTTCTTCGGACCGGGACGGTATGAGTGAAATGCGGGTACAAGCAGCCTCATTGCTGTGTAAGGTCTTTCTCCAATACCTTGTTCTACTTTCGAAATGGGACGGAATGTTGGATCTCTGGATCAAGATTATCGACATCATGGATCGGTTGATGAATAGTGGACAAGGCGACAGCCTCGTAAGTCAACATGTCGAAGTTTACGAAGCAGGATATGAGCTAACAGCAAATTAACAGGAGGAGGCAGTTCGAGAAAATCTAAAGAACGTGGTTCTCTTCATGGCAAGCAGCGGCTTCCTGATTTCTCCCACCAAAGATGCTTCAAAGGAAAATCTGTGGAATGAGACGTGGAAACGAATTGATCGTTTCCTCCCAGAGTTGAAGAACGATTTGGCTCTAGAAGAGCCCCGGGGCGAAGAAGAGCAAGCGCCAACGGTAGAGGCGAATGCATAGTTTCTTATCCCTGTAGCCCCTCGTGGCATGAGTTCAATGTCTGTGTATAGATAGGTGGTAGCTGGTAGTAGTATGTAACATTCCGATGCTCAAGCTATTGCGTTGTCTGGGCAATTACGGTGCTATTGGGCTGACGGAGGGATGCGTATTTCGACCGCAAATGGCCGTGACAAGCTCGGCTTGGACAGTGCTGAGTGCATTCGACCTCATCCGGCATGATGATAAGATGATAAGGAGTTGCCGTTCCAAGAGCTTTTGAAGACCAGGCCAATTCAGCAGTGTGTCCTACCATGTCAGTCATGAATGTGACATGATATATGAGAATCAAAAGTAAAACATCGAGTGTAACTACGGAGCTCTCAAGCCGACCTAGTGTGAGCCCACTTAGGCGTGGATCGACGGACGCAAGAGAGTACGTAGAAGAGTTTCACAGGTAGATGATGTCGTACCATCCATAAACGTAAATGTAGAAATAGCAACACATCAAGAATCATGGCAAGATTTATCATGGTTCCGATCTTTATCCCTAAATACACTTCGAACCTACAACTCGAAAGTTTGGAGTGGGGGACCTCTTGACATGAGAGCTAAAAAACATACAACACCAGGTATTCGCTGGTCGTCACCGACCCAACTACTAATCCGGCCCTCACTGGCTTATCTATGGGAGAGCGGACGGGATCCCGAGTTTTCCAGTGGGTATGGTCGTATGTATTCAGTTAAGGTACTTGAGAGAATATAAATGCTTGCTACAAACAGCCGCTTCTTTTAGAGTATTGTTTTCAATGTCTGCTATTACACTGAGGTTCCCTTTGTGCTGGGCGCACTTGGGAGCCTGGTCCCCAGTTTTTTAAGGTAATGGCTTCCACATCTCAAGTCTGACCGTCGCGTGGCTGCACAGAGTGACTTCTACTTCCATTTTGCCGGAGATGCCCTGTTGCGTCCGTGAGGTACCGCCAGTTTAGGTAGACGGCAGGCGGTGTGCACGCTCCTCTACACCAAGCCATAACACAACGGTCCAAGGTGCTCGATCTTCCACAAGCTAACTTCACCTCGCGACTTTCCTTTATTTTGGCATTTCGCCTCATAATCTGCTATCAGGTGCACCTCTTTTCTCAGTTACCGTAGCAATGGCTTCTGGTCTCCCCATCGCCACGTACGTGTCATTGCACTTCGACACGTATGGCTATTGGCTGACCTCTTGTGCTACAGAGTATACGTGCGAAACCTTGAGGAGCGCGCCAAAGTCGACCAGCTGAAGGATGCGCTGCTCCAAATCTTCTCCGAGTATGGCAACGTCATCGACATTGTCGCCAAGACGAACTTGAAAGCGAAGGGACAGGCCTTTGTCGTCTTTGACGACCCCGAGGCTGCACGCAAAGCCATCGAGGAGGTACAGGGCTTCGAGCTGTTTGAGAAGCCCATGCAGCTCGCCCTCGCCCGCACGAGAAGCGATGCGACCGTCAAGACGGTTGGCAATGATGAAGAGTTTGAGCTTCACAAGCGCCGTCGTCTAGCCGAAAAAGGTTTCGATCGCCCTACCCGCGCCCTCCTCTATTTCCCTCCTATCGGTGTCATTATCTGTTTGTGCATAACAAGTACCACTTCTGCTGACTTCTTTGCGCCTCTTCACCAGACAAGAAGAAGGCATACGAGGCCGCCGAGGAACAGAAGCGTCTCAAGAGACCCGGTCCAGGCGGCGCCGCTGCAACGGACAACCGCCCTGCCAAGGCCGCTCGCGGTGCTGGCCTCAAGTCTACAAACCCCTCTACTACAGCTGTCATCCCCGACGAGTACCTCCCCCCGAACAAAATTCTCTTCGTGCAGAACTTGCCCGAAGATTACGATATCGATGCCGTCACAAGCATATTCGGCCGTTTCGAAGGTTTCCGCGAGGTTAGATTGGTGCCAGGTCGCCGCGGCATTGCATTTGTCGAGTACGAGGGCGAACAAGGGGCCATCACAGCAAAGGAGAACACCGCGGGCATGGTCCTTGGAGACACCCATACTATCAAGGTCACATACCAGCGGCAATAGGCCACTGCTTTTAGGTCTGGTGGTCATCTGGTGTTTCGGCGTGTAGGTTAGGGATGAGTTTGAGAGGGTATGAATGCTTGCGAGAAAAAAGCGCGCCCACACCAACTACTCTGAATATCAACACATGCTTCGTGATCCTTTTCTGCACTGGTCCGAATATTACGGGATGCTCAGAAAATAACATCGTTGTCTTCCTCTGCTGCAAGAAGGTCGTTTGGCCCGGACGAGTCACCTCTCTCCTCTGCCGCGTTGGCAGCCTTTTTGGCCTTGATCTCTGCGTCTGTGGCCGCAGTATCTCTCTGTTTCTTGTTCGCCACCTGTGATTGTCCGTCAGAAATTGCTGCTGCCAATTTCGAACAATGGCTGTTACCTTTTTCAATCTGTAAAACTCTTCTCGGTCCAGCTCATCGAGCTCTGAGTTGATGTCTGTAGTCAAAGTCAGACACCTCAAAGCGTTACGCAAGGGGATCCTTCCCGAATAACATACACTTGATGGTGTTCTCTGTTCTCGGAATGATAACGTGCTCGCTTGGGAAACGGTCAGTGATTGATTAGTCTGTAAGCCATCCAAGGATTGCTTACATCGCGTTCACTGCAGTGTGTTAGTACAAACTCTCAGGGCACAATATCCACTATGAAACTTACCACGTCGGTTGACGACCTTGATAACTTCGTCCAAAATTACAAAAGCAGTCTTGATCGAGTTAGACTTCTTGTTATCCATGGAAAACATCTTAACGGATACGTACCTGGAGACTTGCGAGTTCAACCAAAGCCTCGACGGCACGAGCATATGTCTCGCGGCAGCGTTGGACTTGCTGACCACCCTTGCCCAGTCCCGTCAGGCCAAAGTCGTTGTTCCCTTCGGTCACGTAGCTCTCGAAGGCGGGGAGGAGAACACCCGAAACGTTTTCCTGCTTGGTGCGCACGCGGAAACGAGCGGACCGCGCGGACTCCTGAATCTGGTAGCCAATATCGCCGCCCACAGCATACGTAACTTCGGCCAAGGAGAAGGAGGCAATCTGCATCACACGTCCCATCTTTCTCTTGGCTTCGTCGATGCGTCTCGTAATCTCTGTAGAAGTGCAATTGCCTCAATCAGTACCAGTCGTCGAGACGGAATCGGAGCTTCGAACCTCGGAATCGTCTGCGGTGCATAACGTGTCAGCAAGTCCTTTCTTGTATGAATGTTTCCAAGCCTCTGGAGACGTACTTGGTCAGAGCCTCGCTCTTTCTCTTCAGCAAGCTATGGCCCGTTTCAGCACCCTTGAGCTTCGCCTTCATGATTCCCAGCGACTGGCGCGTGGGAAACACGGCCTCTCGGTCCTATACAAGTGGATTGTCGTGTCAGTAGGGACCTCGTTGAGCCGGGCTGATTGGAAAGGAATCCAGCATACAGGAGCGCCCGACATGGTGGTTTATCGAAGTTGGCAATGTAGATTGTATTTCGAATCGACGAGGAATCGGGGGAAATGTGCGCGTGCTCAACAACAATTCGTACGGCACCGGATGACAGGAGGAGGTAGACGCAGCGCGATCGTTCAATGGAGTCGACGAGGAGCTGGAGACGTTAGGCAATTGAGCGTCGTTGGCTGCTCGTTGCGTCAGTGCTTCAAGCACACTGGACAAGGCTCCCGTTGCTAGTAAGTAAGTGCCTATGGCAGGCACCGCTGGAGTAAAGGTACCTCAGCTTGTGTCTCTACATGTCAGCCACAGTCGTAGGTACCCAAGGTACTTACCTACCTACCTATCTTGGCACAGGCCTCTGCCCGATTGAGCTGGCAAGTGGGGCTAGAGCTGTATTTCGAAGCTGTACTTAGGCCGCCTACCTCGGTATGGCTAATACCAGCTGATGCATGTATCGAGGCCAGGCATCCCGATTAAAACATACTCGGTCGAAGGTCTCTCAAAGCCAGAGTGGGGCCATGGACGAAAAACGTACCTGAGCTGCTTGGGCCTGTCGACCTGGAGCGCGAAGGAAACGATTTTGTCTCCAGTCGCGCCATGATTCACCTTTGAACTGCATCGCCCGTCTTCTCAACAATCCACCGTCGTGACTGGAGCACGAAGACACCAAGGTGCCCAGCGCTTGAGCTGTCACTCTTGTCTTTCTCATGGCTTTTTGGCCATTGGCCTGAATCAAATATGCCTGCCTCTGTGCTTCTCAACGGCTCCCAGAGATGTCCGGATCTGCACCTGGTTGTAAGTGACGCTCTTGTTTTTTGTCGGTGGCTCTTGCGATCATCGCTTGTACTGCCATTGATATAAGAAGCTGACAAAGTATTTTAGAGCGACGAAGACTCTGTGTACGAGCAAGATATCCTACGCAACCCCGGCAGCATCAAGCCATGGCTCGCCTACATACAATTCAAGTCCCAGCATGGGACCGTACACGAGCGCGCGTTTGTTCTCGAGCGTGCTTGTATCCAGCTCCCACGGTCCTATAAACTTTGGAAAATGGTATGTAGAAAGATGCTGGCATGCTACTTTGGACAACAGCTGACAGTCCGACAGTATCTTATTTTCCGCGTCCATCACGTTTCAAGGCTGAATGCTGCCGTCTTTTCTGCCGAATATCGGAAGGTAAACGCGCTATTTGAGCGCGCGCTGATTCTCCTGAACAAGATGCCTCGAATCTGGGAACTCTACCTCAAGTTCTTGCTTCAACAACCTCTTGTCACGACCACGCGACGAACTTTCGATCGAGCCCTTCGTGCACTGCCGCTCACCCAGCACAACCGAATCTGGGCCCTCTACAAGACATTCGTCAATTCTGCCGAAGGAATTAGCGCCGTCAAGGTCTGGCGCCGCTACATGCAAATACACCCCGAGGAGGCTGAAGATTTCATAGAGCTTCTCACGCAGGTGGGCTTCTATACGGAGGCTATCAAGAAGTACACGGACATCCTCAATAACACACGGTTTATAAGCAAGCATGGGAAGGGGCATTACGAATTGTGGAGCGAGATGGTTGACCTGATGGTCGAACACGCGGCCGAGATCGAGACGGGCCACGAGACTGGTATCGACGTTGACAGAATCGTTAGAAGCGGTATTGTTCGATTTGCCGACCAACGGGGGAAGTTATGGTGTGGGTTGGCCACCTATTGGATACGGAGAGGCAGTTTCGAGCGCGCCAGAGACGTATTTGAAGAAGCAATCACAACGGTGATGACGGTCAGAGACTTTACGCTTGTTTTCGACTCATACACCGAGTTCGAGGAGTCAATAATTGGAGCTCTCATGGAGGTCGCCTCGGATCGTGCTGACAAGGGCATTGTCGATGAGGAGGCGGATTTCGAACTTGACATACGAATGATGCGCTTCGAGCAGCTCATGGACAGGAGACCTTTCCTTCTCAACGATGTTGTTCTGCGACAGAACCCGAACAACGTATCAGAATGGGAGAAGAGGGTAGCTCTCTGGGGGGACAACAAGCTGGAAGTGGTACAGACATACACAGCAGCCATCGCGACAATACAGCCAAAGAAAGCCATTGGAGCATTCCATCAACTCTGGGCCAACTACGCCAAATTCTACGAGCGGGGGGGCGACCTACGAAACTCGCGCATCATCATGGAAAAGGCTGTCAAGGTGCCATTCAAGTCGGTTGCGGAACTGGCTGACATGTGGATTGAATGGGCCGAGATGGAGCTGAGGAATGAGAATTTTGACGATGCCGTTCGCATCATGGCGAAGGCGGTCCAGGCACCGAAGAGGTCGACAGTTGACTACTTTGACGAGACACTGTCGCCTCAGCAGCGTGTGCACAAGAGCTGGAAGCTCTGGAGCTTCTACGTAGATCTTGTCGAGAGCGTCAGCTCGTTGGAAGATACGAGGAAGGTATACGAGCGTATATTTGAACTGCGGATCGCCACGCCCCAAACTGTGGTCAACTACGCCAATTTATTGGAGGAGCACCAGTACTACGAGGAGTCGTTCAAAATTTACGAACGTGGCCTCGATCTCTTCAGCTACCCCGTCGCCTTCGAGCTGTGGAACCTGTACCTGACAAAGGCCGTTGATCGCAAGATTGGCATCGAGCGCCTGCGCGATCTTTTTGAGCAGGCCATTGAGGACTGTCCGCCCAAGTTCGCCAAGGTCATATATCTCATGTACGGCAACCTGGAGGAGGAGCGGGGCCTCGCGAGGCACGCGATGCGAATCTACGAACGCGCGACGAGAGCTGTGGCGGACGAGGACCGGGCAGACATGTTCAACTTCTACATCACCAAGTCAGCATCCAACTTCGGGCTACCGTCGACGAGGCCCATTTACGAAAAGGCCATCTCCACTTTACCCGACAATGAGGCACGGGACATGTGCCTAAAGTTTGCCGATATGGAGAAGCGCCTTGGCGAGATCGATCGGGCGCGGGCTATTTACGGTCACGCGTCACAATTCTGCGACCCGCGCACCAGCCCAGACTTTTGGGCGAAGTGGGAGGCCTTCGAGGTGCAACACGGCAACGAGGACACATTCAAGGAGATGCTGCGGATCAAGCGGAGCGTGCAGGCGCAGTACAATACCGACGTCAACTTCATCGCGTCACAGGCCCTCGCACGCAGCCAGCGGCGGCCGGAAGAGTCGGGCGACCCCGAAATGGCCGATGCCATGGCGGCGCTCGAGCGACAAGCAAAGGCGCCCGTGGGATTCGTGGCGGCCAGCGATGCCGCCAAGACGGCCAGCACAACCGAGGCACCAGCTGCGGCAGCAAACCCGGACGCTATCGACATCGATGACCTTGACGAATAACGTGTATCAATTTCTCCTCGGCGTGATGGCGGTTGGCTAGTTTTAGGTAATATCATACAGACAGCAGAGCGTCAAACCCATTTCCGATTCCTGATCTCTACAATTTAGTTCATTCCTCGTGATTCCCATTCCCAGCCTTGCTGGTGTGATGTTACAGCCCCTCCTACGATCTGCTGGGCGCTCGCTCAACGTTGGTCAAGTCACACGATTCTCACGTGCCGGGCCAGTCGTTCGTTCCCCCGAATACAGCCAAAGACCCTTTATATTACTTTGAGGGCGTCTTGGTGTAGCCTTTCTCAGTGTGCTTCTCGTGGAAGCCAGAGGCGTAATTCCGGTCAACATGGCCGTCACGAGAACCGGGCGTAGCATAGATGGAACCCTTGCGCTTCTGGAAGCGGCTCGGGGGAACTTTGGAGGCGTCTAACAGAGTGTTCCAGGTGGTTAGTAATCGCCAACGCGGACCCCGGGCAGGATAGAGAAGCCAGCAGTCAGGACTTACCCCATTCGTCGGTGCTGGCTCGTCGATCTGCGGGCGACGAGGAGAGGGCGACGGCAGGCTCTCCGTCAAGGACGGTCGGCGAGGCGCCGGCATCAATGGTGATGCTCTCGGTTCTGGTCTGGTCGTCTGGGCACGGCATATTAACAGGCGTCTTGTGTGGCAGTAGATGATGAAGGGGTTGAACAAACCGGACATGGTAGAGTCTGGTGTCGGCGGACGGGAGCCTTCTGTGTCGATTCGATAGCAAGCGAGTCACCGTCTTAGCTGATACGATGATGTTTGACAAGGTCGTAGATTAAAAGTATTGTGAGTTGGGCTGTGTCAAAAGGTATCGCAGGTGGGGAGAGACTTTAAGTCGAAGGGAGAAGGCCAATGACAGGGCGATCAGAGGAGGGAGGGGGGGGGTTATGAAGGTCCGGAACAGTCACAACCATCAGGCCCGGTAGCGTTTTGTGCGTGTCGATGGTGTCACCAAGACGATGCTAAAGTGAGGGAGGAGGCACCAAGGCCGAAATACTAAGGTAGCGAGCAAGGTGGGGGCAGAAGGAGGCAATGGATCACCACACCACACCGCGACAAGGAGGTACATGATCCCTTTGTAGTGTAGGGCGATGGGCTGGCTGGGCAGTCACCTGCCGTTTGCCTTTTCCTTTCCCATGCGGTCGAAGGACAAGTCTGAAAGAGCCCCGAGTACCTACCTAGTCATTCCGTCTCAACTGCGTTTATTAACGAACGAACCTGTCGATCACAGCCCCCTCCACTTCGAAGCCTCTGAGACCGGGGGTGGCGTCGGCGCACGACCTCTACGTACCTTTAATAGTGAGTGAGAGTAGGTACTCAAGGTGGCCGGCCAACTGGCTGCTCTGGTGTATTATCGATTGGTTTCGGTTCAGTTTTCGCTTGAATTTGGGTTCGCGGGGAGATAGAATTGGAAAGATTCTGTTTCAACGGTGGAAAACGCAGCCGTCAGGGCGAGGAAAGTCTCCGTTGTACTGGCCAAGGAAGCGAGCAGACAGGAGGAGGTAGACCAAGGTTTATCACGACTTGAAGTGTATCATGACCCCTCGCTGTTTTGGGTGTGCGGATTACGTAGCTCATTTCACCTCATCTTCACATCGCCATTGGACATGTACGTTTCTTAGATAATGCGAGGAGGGTGAGCTTGGGATACAGGAGGACGGTACACTAACGTGAACCCTTACTTACAGTTGCTTTGCCTGACTTGTCTACTCATATCAGGTTAGCCTCCATTTGGGCTGCCTCGAAAATACTATATTGAAAGGGAACTCTGTCTTGTGGGCAGGAAAGAATAGCAAATTGCAAGACAAGCCTATGCCTGATCATGTAAGTCGGTGTATTCAGGTAGCTGGCCCTCCCTTAGTGTTACTTCTAGCTGAACATGGAAAACCCAAGCTAGCTTGTTGTGCACATGGTGAAATGATACTGCGTAAAAGGATGACGGCGTTGGTCAAGGTTTATCACCGCACACGCCAAGGACTTGCCCGAGGTCGACATCAGTATTGGGTAGCGAAACATCTGACCCGGACGCGCTTCCCCTAATCTTTTCCCGACTTTTTTCTTTCTTTTTCGACTTATTGATGGCGGGGGTAGAGTGACAAGGATCAGCGAAGGCCTTAACCATCCGCTCTGTGCGTCTCTCACTACTATGAACGCCATTGACGTCACGCCAGGGCCAATCGACGAATGGAGGAAACGACGGCACCCCCAAGCTCCAATGACATTCACTTCGATTGCCTTCTTGTCCAATTGCAGTTGGTGATTGCTGATCTGGAGTGCCTCTTGTTTCTGTCACTGGTATCCAACGTATTGTATTCCATTTCGCCCACCTTCTTTCACAAACGCCATCTACGAGTACCTATACCCGCATCTAGACGAGAACGACTCGTCGATTGGCTTAGTCTTACATGTCCATCTGTTATCGTCCGCATTACCTGCAACCCTACGCAAACATCTCGGCGTCCATGCTCACGCCCACATCCACGGTGCACAACTCGTTTCAGATGCACGTGGTAAGGAACCCAAGGCTGATTAAACCTACATTAGTTGCGTCCTTGGCTAGGTTCGGGAGAGCCAACTTAGGATGAACGCTTCTGCCGGTGGTTGTGGACGACGATGACAAGAATTGGACCACGACTTGCGTTCGTCCCTAAAGAAGGTTTTGATTATTATCGGCGTCGGTTTTGACAGAAATATGTTTTTGGTATTGGTCTTGCCCAATCTAGCCGGCGCCATCGCACAGACAGGCTCAGCGCAAGTCCGCTAATTGTGATGTCTACTTTCTCTGCTACTCATCTGCTCTCAAACAGCCTCCCCTTTTTGCCTCTTCTTGCAAGCCTTCATTCACGTTCTCAGCCCCGTACCATCACACCATATTCCATTCCGTATTACCTTATCTCATCCCAGCCCAACAGGTCCTGGTGCTGCACCTCCTGACCCTCGTCAGATCACCCCATTTAGGTTGTCCTCATTATATTGTCCTAACGCCTTTGCCTTCTTTCGGTGGCTGTGCATGCCCGACTCAACCTTCTCTAGGCTTGTTTGACTCGGGACCACGTACATGCCGTCTCCTCAGTGTACGAACAACGCATCACGTTCTCCTCTGGCCATGACGAAAAACATTGTCCGAAGATAATATCTGGTCCGACGCACTCCCCCCTCTCTCGGTCTTAATACTTCGACAGGTAACGTGACCCGTGCACGTCTTTGGTGCAATACAAGCAATGCGGCGATGGATCAACCCATCTTAGTGAACGGCAACCCGCGGCAAACGAAACGGAGGGAATCGTTCGCGAAGACATTGAGTCTTGTAGATAACCCTAGGCAGCCAAGCCTTGACATTGTAGCCATGAAATATGCGGCGATAGTCACAACCACCAAACCACCTTACTGTCATAATTGTTGAGCCATCTTGTCAGCAGAGGGGAAGTTAGTCGAGACTCGGGTTGGGCAGCAAGCACTACAACCCTCATCCAGCAGGACAGCTAAACCAACAAGCCCAAAAACGGTTCTTGGACCATTTAAGCCCAGCACATGCTACCGGACCGTTCGCCGACGATGCCAGGAGCCGAAATGTCACACAACCATATACCAGAGGAAACAAGATAGCAAATTATTAGCAAGCAGTCAGAGAATGGTATTGTGTACTATCGACGACTAGACACAGTCAAAGCCCTCTCCAGATACATAATGATGGGCATCAGCATCAGCATCAAGTCAGCAGCCTCTTTCGTCGCCTGTCCTTCCTGCCTCCGCAAATCCCTGTTTCAACCCTCGTGACAGCCCCCGGAACTCAAGTCGTTTAAATCTCCTCACCGTCGGCGCGGAGCTCGGCCAGGTAAGCGGGGTCGTCCTCAGGGGCCGCAGAGGGGGTCTGAGCACGCTTGATCATCTTCTTGAGGAGCTCGTCGGAGCGCTTGACGGCGAGCATCAGGTTACGGCGAGCAGCAGCCGGCGTGGTGGTGCCAGCCATCTGGACGGGAACGACACCGCCAAAGGGACCGGCGCGAGCGGCGTTCTGGCAACGAACCAAGCAGACGTTGGACTGGCCAGCAACGGTACCTGTGCAGGTCTGGTCGGCAGGGATGGCGGCCTTGAGCGGGAAGTCGGTCATGGCGCCGTCACGGTTGCGGGAGTTCTCGCCCGGGGGAGTGGTGATAACGTTGATGTTGGTCCAGGCGGCGCCAGTGCCGTCAGCGTTGATCATGCAGTCGTAAGGGCCTGCAGTATCCCGTGTTAGTTGTGCTCCAAGTTGGGCGTCAGGGTGCATCTAAGTCTGTTCACTTACCACCACCGTCACCGTTGACCTGGTGCAGAGTCATATCGACAGAGCCGCCAGCAGAGACCTGGGGGAGCATAGTGCCGGTCTCGGCCATCATGGCCTTGGTGCCGGTCTCGAGATCGTTTGTACCGGCGCCGACGGTCTCGCCGAATGTGTCGGCTGCGTCGCCCTTGAAACGAGTGCTGTCCGCCTGGAAAGGGTTGCGGCGGGTTCCATCACGGGGGGTGCTGGAATCAATGCCGAGGGCCATGCCCTTTCCGCCGGCGTCACCGGTAGCGGCAATGATGGCAGCGTGTCCGGCAACAATGTCGGCGGTGGCCAGGAGGCCGATGGCGAAAATGCTCTTGATGGAAGACATGTTGTTGTGAGAGAAGGTAAGTCCTGACCGGCAGGGATAAATTATGCAATAAAAGATTGGAAGGAGAGAAGTAGTCGGATGACTCAAAGACTGCTGATTGCTGGATGGTGATGGAGAGGGCAAAACGGATTGGAGCTGGATGCTGGACTTGTCTTTATAGAAAGCTAGCGGCCCAAGAGTACGAGAGACGTCGAAATATCTGATGTCGGGACGACCACGACACGCCTCTGTCTCCCACCCTCACTTCCACTGCCACGTTCCCACGGCTTGCTTCACCCCATTGCCTGTTCTCCTCTGATGCTCGGGAGAGGTTTGTCGAATATCCATCCGACATCCTAAACCGCCAAGCCAAACATGTTTTCGAGGAGATGGCCTCAATGCGACTTGGCTTGGGGGTGGTTCGAATCCAGGCACACCCACTGACACAGACACATCAACGACGACGACGAAGGATGTGACATGGCTAGCTGGAGAGCGGATCTCCTGAGCTGGGCTGTGGCGAGGCCAGTGAGCAGAGCCTCATGTGAATATCGAGCCAGGGGCGTGGACAACATGAGGCGATGACGAACAGGGATGGGTATCAAAGTTCCGGAGTTGGTGTGACCGAATTTCGGCTGGAAAGCCCGAGCCCACGACCGGAAATCAGGACGACCTTAATCTGACCCAGCCAAGATGCAACCAGCATCTCTAAGAGGGGCAGAGGACGGGCGCCTGGACCCTTCTACCGTCCAGGTTCACACCAAGCGATGACCTGCATGTCTGCTGCCCGGGGTTTCTGGCAGGCTCTTGCTCGGAAGCGGAGCAAATGCAGGTGCAGGCCTAGGTGTACCAAACGCCGTGTCTAAGACGACGGCGTAAACGTTCCAGTTGCCCGGTGATGGGATGTTCAACGGGCGCATATCTGATATGAACTTTTGCTTCGAGGCTCCTGTGAACGAGCAGCGAAGACTGGCGTTGAATACGTAGGCAGCAGTATGTTTCCGAACGCCCCAGAACATCTCATTATACAAGACCAAGTATAAGATGGAATGGCTGGTGCTTGCCATCGGTTCCCGCAGGATGCTGGTTATTTGCGCAGGTCACGCACCCATGTAGGCGTACGTGACCTGCGCAAAGAACAATGATCCATGGTTGTGCCTATTCTTGGCGACCACTCATCATAATGGCTACTTTGATGGTCTGGTTGCCTGGCCCTTGGCTGAGTGTGATTTAAAGTAAGGTGAAGTCGCTGCGTTGGAACTAGATCCACAGCAATGACCCCAGCCAGCGACGGCCATGCCTCGTGCGTGTTTCGATGCGGAGATGGATGGCTCTGTTTCGACCCACGGCGGCCGGATCTGCAGCGCACCGGATACGATATGATCGTTGCAACGGGGGGTGGTGCTGGAACGAGCTAGCAAGGAAAAGATGACGGCCCAATCGAATCTCGACCTGTATTAACGGTAAGCGCACGTGCGTAGATGATCCGTTGCCATACTGTGGGTAACTTTGAAGGAAGAGAGAGTACCGTAGAATTGGGTTAATGTCACAAGGGCGCGAGGGAGAGGGCGAAGATGGAGGAGAGGGCGAACGGGTGCAGACGGGGCAAACCGTTGCAGCCGACAAGCGCGAAAAGCACGCACAGATGGCGCAGTTGGGTCAAAATCCGCAGTCATGCAAGCCGAGCGGAGACCGCATAGGAGGCAGTAGACTTGACGGCAATGGGTGCGGTGAGCCACGATACTGCTGTCAAGACAAACGTCGGACAATGGCGGTGACCTGACTTCGATTTACAACGTTGAGTGACTTTGCATGGCGGTGACCTGACTTCGATTTACAACGTTGAGTGACTTTGCATGGCGGTTCAACAACAGTGCAAGAGAAATGATGCCGTGCCAGCTGTAATTCGACGGATGGTGGGGCCTACCTATGGCTACGATGGATAGGACGACGACAACAACAGGAACCTGGCGCAGGAGCAGCTGGCGACCGGGACAGCAATGCGGCTGTGAAGATTTTGCCCCTGTCTATGTCTGTCTTAGTCTTCAAGCCCCCGAGCTTTGCTAGTGGCGAGCTGGACGAGGCCACCACTGGTTGTATCATTCGCTTAGAGCCCATAAAAACAGACATAATAGTTGCCCAGAATGGACGATGCTGTGTACCTTGTAAAGCAGACGCATCGAATGGTTGGGGTAGATGCCGGAAGACGTTGAAGTGCGCATACAATGTCGGCCACAAACACACATGATTGGCTGGCGTGCGCAAAGCATCGAGGCAAGAGAACGAGGGAAGAGGGATCGGTAGCAGGGGGGTGCGTTCGTTTCGCTCCGGGGCACGTCCCAGCAAGCAGATGAGGCTCTGTTGGCCATGTCGAATCAATGGCTTGTCGGTCTGCTACCATTCTATTCAGGCTAAAGCGAAGGAAAGCTCGGAAGACGAGGGGAAGGACAGACCAACAGACAGGGTAGGCACCGGTGAGACAGGTGTCGTTTGGAACAGGCGGTATGAGCTGTGCACTGGCCATCGGTGAAACCGACTTTGTCAACTTCTGAGTTGCGGAGCCAATCGCAAGGGCATTTGGGCAACATCAGTTGGGTCGTTTCCTGCAAGACTAGAACGCCAGGGGCAGCTGTGCATCACAGTCGCTCCCCAGAGCCACAGCCGACTACCGGTGCGCGACGAATGCGGAACAAAGTAGACGGACCGGGTTGCCCTGTGCGGGAGGAACTGCTGATCAAACAAAACCATATCAAAGATAGACTTGAATATAGGGGACTGGGGTTGCGGTGACCCAGATCTAGGTCTCATGGTCCTTGGGGTAACCACTTTGGGTGGGCGGTCAGGAAATACTTGGATATGGGCCACAAGACGGGATTCAGATTCCCATGACAGGTGCAACTGCGGATAGAGACAGTGACATTATTGACTACTGAAACATATGGATGGAACCCGAGGAAGAGCATCGTCGTTGTGAAATGCCAAGATTGCTGAGGGTTCTCTGTTATGCTGCCGTTTGTTATGTAGGGCAGTGACATAAAGCGGCTTGAAGTTGCAGCCGGCCCTTTGCAAAGGAGTTGTAGCCTAGAATCCGTAGGTCAATTTGCATACGAGTTATTGCCATTACAAGCAAGTACAGCAACGCAGGCAGCGTTGGAAAATACTCCACCACTCGACGGAGGGCAAAGTTGGCGCACCCTTGCTGAGCTTCACGAACAAATCAAACAAGACACTGGGCGAAGGACAACCCGGTCCTCCCAGCCACGCTGTCTTGTGCCACAAGACGGATGACACGCTACGTCAATACCTCAACAGGGGAGCTTTGACGTTAAAACACGATGCCAAATCGCACTTGGTTGTCTTAGGTAATTGTATTAGCTCGGACACCCCGGCTCAGGTACAGAACCAGGGAAGGCTGTCAGCTGAGAGAGCATACGTGCAAAAGTCGATGGCAAGCCCGAAAACTTGCCGGAGGATACGTACCCCATATCTCGTAGTACCTAGGTACCTAAGCATCCTGTCTCTCCTACATCGTGTGCCATACCTTCTATTCATAGTGGCACCCTTACCGTCGTCTCGCCAGAGCATGGTAGGTATTTGGACTTAGGTAGTGTAGGCTGTAGTGGATCGTGCCGCAAGTGAGATCCGTACTATCGCCATTGCGCTTCTTGACGCTTGTGCACTCTTACCCCTGTCACGGGCCGAACGACTCGTAAGGTACTCTGTCACCCAGTTCATTTTACCCCCCTGCCTGTCTGCTTGACATGGCGTTCACCTACCGCATGTTCTACTAGTTGATGACGACAGAATAATAGATATTTGAAATGGCACTGTGTGTCTTCAAGAGGACAGACAGACGCGTGACCCAAAATAAACAACAAGGCTGCTATAGTCTGTTATTTTCTTGAATGTACATAGTTCTCTATTGTGTGTCTTGAAGTTTTTGTTGTACGCGGTCGTCAGTGTACGGGGTTTCAATTGCAAGTCGGGTGTTTGGTTACCCTTGGCTGCCTTTCTGACATCTCCTCCGGCGTGTGTCTGGGCCCTGGTCAGCTCCTAACTCTGCCTAGCTTATATAGTATTAATTAGGTACAGGAAGTTTAAGCTGAAGACGCCTGCAGGGTCGTTTTTAGAACAGTCCCATTACAAACAAACACACACCACCAATGACTGAATCTTGCCCCGAACCTTATTACCCTGCCTTGACCTTGAGATTGTGAGTCAACCCCCGTCATCTTCATATTCGCATAGACGTAAGCCCTAAGAGATGGGCATGGCAACTATGTCGTTTCGCATCACATATATATCACCTTAGGTCACTTCACTTATTCGTCACATCTGCACAGGAGCCCTATCATGTCATTTTTTACCCCCTGGAACCATATTGGGCGGCAGGCCTCACAGTTCGTTCGCGTCACCCCACCTACCACACCCGGGTGTCTCGCCTTTTTACCTAACCACTCGCTAGCCGCGTATCAGCGCTTCGTATCGAGACTTCATCCCAACCTCGACCCCATCGCCAAACCCACACTGCCTGGAGAAACCACTCGATACACACACTACAAACTCTTGCAGGCCAGCGCTTTGTCCCAGAATTGCCTGTTCATTCATCGGTCCTCCTCTGACAATCTGGGCCTGTGCTGAAGTGTCCGTACCACCTATCTCTTGCCTTCATCGGCATCTGCGCCTCCGACCCCAGTCTCCATTACCGCTGCTACTCGGTACTACCCAAACCATTGGTTAATTTGAGAGGTGCTCCTGGCCAATCCCAGGAAGACGTCTTCTCGAAACTGACGGATCACGGCTAGCGGCCTTGTGCAGCGCACGTTCACCCCTTCCTCCTAGGGCTCTAGCTCGTTAAGCGCCTGCGACTTGACACACTCGACTGTCGGGCGAGCCGTGTCATGCTACGTCTCTGTCCTCGACTTCGACCTGCCACAACTTGGAAGCGCTGCGCGGTGCTACCATCATTCCCGTGTCGGTACCTCATGAAGAGAAACTTTGATACTTTTGTGGGCCGTCCTGCTCCATCTTCCCCCTCTAAGATGGCCGCTACCAGCAGCAACAACGCCGCCACCACTACCGTCGCCCCGATTATTCCGCCGAAGCTTAGCCTTACTGCCACAGAGAAACAGTTGAGGGATCTCCTGGTCGATGTTGCCGCCTTCATCGATGCGGCCGGTCGCTCGCCCGAGCCGCTCGTTCTTCGATGGGCGGGAGGATGGGTTCGTGATAAGCTGCTTGGCATTGAGAGCCACGACGTCGACACCGCCATCAATGTCATGACCGGCTATGCCTTCAGTCTAGAGCTCCGTGACTACTGTGCTCAAAATGAGCATATCAAGAAGCACAACATTGGCCCTGATGACATGGGCAGCCTTCACAAAATTGCTGCCAACCCCGACAAGTCTAAACATCTCGAAACAGCCACCACACGCATGTTTGGTCTGGACGTCGATTTTGTCAACCTGCGCAAGGAGACATACACCCAAGAAAGCCGCAACCCCACGATGGAGTTTGGCACTGCAGAGGAAGATGCTCTGCGCCGAGATGCCACCATTAACGCACTCTTCTACAACCTCCATACTGGTCTGGTGGAGGACTTGACCGGTGGTCTCGCAGACATGAAATCTCGTCTGATTCGCACTCCTATGGAGCCATTCCAGACTTTCACTGACGACCCTCTCAGAGTGTTAAGGTTGGTCCGTTTTGCCAGCCGGCTTGACTTTGCCATAGACCCCACCGCCACTGCCGTCATGGCCGATGCCCGCGTCCTAGACGCTCTGAAGCTTAAGATCAGCCGTGAGAGGGTCGGGGTTGAGATGGAGAAGATGCTGAGGGGTACGTCTGATTGGGATAGCGGTGCTCTACGCGTGAATGCTTCACAGACTGACATAATGAGATCCAATCAGGCAAGCGTCCACGCTGTTCTTTGGACCTCATCCGGACATTGGGCTTATACGAGGCCATCTTTACGGATCCGAACAGCATCAAGCACCCACCGCCGGACCTCTCCAAGTGGCAGTTGGTCTATGATCTTTTTGACAGTCTCGTTTGCAATAAAGCCCTGGGATCCATCTACGATGTTCTCGTCAAGTCTGACGAGGCCGCATACTACGCTTGGAACCTAGCCGCAGTAATTCCATATTCACACGTGGAGAGGGAAATGCCCCTACCAAAGTCCAGGGCGACTCTGCCGTTAACAACCTTGGTGGCTCGAGAAGGCATCAAGGCCCCAAACAAGCTCTGCGATGTCATCACTGCTGCGTATCGCCATCGACCCGATATTGTTGCCTTGAAGCAAGCTGTTTGTGCCAATGAGTCTGCGGCTACGGAACGAGACACTGTTGGCATGGCAATCCGCAAGTGGGATGGCCAGGGGAGCCACTGGCGCGTCCAGGTTCTCTATGCCCTGCTCGTCGAAGCCCTAGACAAGCTGCCGTCTGGCTCGGATGCTGGTAAGAAGCTCAGTATTCCATGCTTTCCTTTGCAAGTTGAAAGCCTCAATACTCACTCCATGACAGACAGAATTGATTTTCTCTCCGGTTGGCAGACGTTCTTAGATCGTTTGGCGAAGCTGGACGTAATGGATGCACCGTCTTTGAAGCGCCGAGTCGACGGCCGGATGCTGGCCAAGGAGCTCGGAGTTCGCCCAGGTAGGTGGATGGGGCAAGCCTTGGACGTGTGTGTTGCCTGGCAACTTCGCCATCCCGACGAGATGGACCTGGCTGGAGCTATTGATGAGGTACGCCGGAGAGCCGGCGAGTTGGGGATCCAAGGTATATGACATGAGAATAGCCACCAACGACAGGACGCAGTTCCCAGACGGAATGAACGACTTAAATGCAGACTGGATGCTTGTCTTCGCCCTTCTATGCAGGACATTTACACCGTTATGACCAGGTTGAAGCTCCGGCTTGAACAACGATATGCCGTGTTGTGTTGGCACAGTGTCCAAGAATGAGACTCTCCCATAGGGGACATGGATATTATGCAACTGCAATAGAAAGGCCTTGGATACTAAAAAGAAATAGACATAAACCGTATGAGTGAAAACAGGAACGTGATCTGTTTTCCCTGCAGAGCCCCGAGGCTGTCTAGCTCGAGAAGGAGGATGCAGCGCACTGTGCGCTGTCGCCGTATTGGCACTGGTTCGGGCTGCAACGGAATTCGGGGATTTGGAAATTCAAGCCTCCATTTACAAAACTCCCCCTACTTCGCACACAGAACTTGGGTTTGCTGACGACATTGCCACCATCAACCCTGCCTTTTCAACCTGATCGAGACTCATTCGGCAGCTAATGCACCGTCACGCCTTGTGCGACCGTCTCAGTGGTAGTTTGTCACTTCTGTTGTCGCTCACTCGCCCCTCCTGCAATTGATTACCCTCTCCTTCCAAAGATGTTGCATGATATAGTTGAAGCATGGCAGCATGCAACTTCCAGCGGTAATGGACTGGATGCAGATAAAAGTGTGTCTCGATATCCCACCATACTGGGAGACGGCCGCCATTTGTCGTCACCAGCTGACCGTAAGAGACAGTTCTGCCAAGCCTGTACACACTCGCGAATCTTGCCTGCGGCCTATCCGAGTGTGAATCTTTGGTGAGTTGTTCCGTATATTCATCCTCTATTCTTGCTAACGCTTGCACGATAGCCGCAGCGACATGTTCTTGAGGTTCTTTCACTATGCCTCGAGAAGAGCGAGCGCATTTACGGAGGATCGCAGGACAAGGAGTCCATTCAGCAACTCGCGAGCCATGCCGCGGGACTTTTGAGCTATCCCACCCTTTTGCAATCTGCAGACAGCCCTGCCCTGGCGGAAAGGGCATTAAATGTTTTGGAGAGCCTCGTCATCAACTTTTCTGCGCTACTCGACCAAAAGGATCTGATTCGTGTAGCTGCGTATACCGACAGCCAGGACGCATGGACAACCTCGGGCGCTGCATCAAGTTCTGAGTGCATTTTAAGAAATTCCCTGAGCCACGACATGAGGTGTAAATTTATAGTTTCCGCCGTTCTAGAAGACTTCATTCGCCCCATTTTCTCCCGAACCACTTCAAACCGCATCACTTCAACTGGTAGGAAGGCTCACTTCGTCAACGACGACCAGAATCAGGCCACCCGCGATTGTTACACAGGAACTGTTGATTCGACGCCGTGGAAGAATACCCAAGTCCACGCCGTCACGATATTTGCATGGGCTGTGGAACATGCCGATGTTGGTTGACCCCTCCTACATCACTCGTTACATGGCTAAAATGCATATCTGACGCACTGTTTTACACAGGAACCTCTTATCAGCAAGAGCTGGCCATTATTTACACCAGTCCTACTCGCCCTTGTTGATAACACGGAGACAAGGTTCAAGCAAAAGGGCCTCATCATACTACAGAGCTTTCTCTCAAGATGCCCAGCCCACGTCCTTGGCGACACGGGTCTCGGCGAAATCTTTGAGCAGTCTGTGTTTCCCTCGCTTCTCTCCCTCCCAAGCGTGACGCCGGAAGAAGAGTCTCTTCAATTGCTTGAACCAGCCTACCGCGCCATCATACAGCTGGCCAAGGCTCAGTTTCCTAATGACGGGGCCAGACCCGAAAAGACGAAAATCCTCACTAGGTTGCTCAGAGAAGGTGTACTTGCCGGTTACTGGCATGCGTCCGAGTACGTTGGAATTGTAGAGTTGCTCGCTCGACAGACCATTCCAATCATCAACCAACTTGGTCCGTTTGCTATACCACATCTGAAGGCAAGGCAAAGATTCTCACACGTCGCTGTCCACGTGCTGACTTTTACACAGGAACTTCTATCCATGTTCTCCGCCATCATGACCGACCCGTTCTTCGTTTCCTGCCCAACCTGCATCCAGGCGGCGGCCCAGGCGTTATACGCGGTTATGCTGAACTGCTGGTCAAGGATCTCTCATGCGTCACACTCAGGCACGGTGCTGAGAACGATCAGTATCTGCTGGCTGAACATGCTAGATGAACACAGAAGGACGCCAGGGAATGCGGCGAATGAGAAAGCCTTGGCAGAAGTGACAAAACTCGCTCCTATGCTGCGTGCCATCTTAACGGCTGCCGGCCTCGATCCGCAGCAGTATTGCTCGCCACTGTTGGCTACTGAACCCAGGCTTGCGGAGCTATTCGGCAGCACCAAAGTTGCAACCGAGACTGTGGGCGAAGAACACAACGCCAGTCATCTCAATCGAGTGGCTGCTGCTTGAAGAAAGACTTGCCGCGCAGCCACTTCCTATATGCCTTGTACCGCTTTTTCTGGGCATCTTCCTCAGTGACGGTAAGAGGGTTGCTGCCGACTTTGAGGAGCTCAGCGTACACTGCTAAGTCCTCTTCGGCACCCACAGGGGTGATGGCATCGCTCTGCCAGCTACTCTGAACATAATGCTGGTACTCGGACTGGTTCTCCGCCTGGACCTCGGCCGACACAACCAAGGGTAGGTTCTGGGGGTGGCTGATGTAGCGCTCATAATCCTCGGCCTCCTGCTGACTGACGGATGGGTTGAGAGACTCATTAACAGCCTTGGTAAACGTCCACTGGGCCGCTTTGGTCTTTTCCTGTGCTGTAGGCTTGATTTTAGGGGACCCTTGTGGTTCTGCCTGGGTTTCCTTCATGATCCCGTGGTGTCCTGTTACTCTATCCTGCATGGGCTGGAGCCAGCGGTGAATGGAAATACCTTTGCCACCTGTCGTGCGGTCGGATATGATGGATGCTGCGTCCATATCCCGAGAAGACTTCAGATCTTGTGGGTCGACGATTGTCACCTCCTTCTTCGGCTTCTTCTTCTCGTGGGCGTCCATGTCTGTCTCGTTACGGACCCTAAAGGGACTCAGATCATAGCGGCCATCCTGTGTGGACTTGAAGGGTATGTACTTGATGGTTGAGTTCATCTTATAAGGAAACATCTTGAGGAATGATGAGAGGGTGGACGGTCGATAATACTCAACCCAATAATCGTCAAAGAAAGACACTGGCATCTTCCTTGCCTCGCCAGGAGGCGGAGTGTATGTCGGAAACCTCCTCTCCTGCAGGTTTTCTGCCGTGTACCAATTGATGTAGTCCCGTTTTGTCTTGTCGGACCACGCCCGTGGGTCCGCGTGATGAAGATAGTAGTCGGTCGCAAGGTCCCACAACATTGGCTGCCCCTGAGCAAATATGTAGTTCCCGAGGAACAGATTGTACGCCTCCTGGCGCTGGCCGTCGAGGAAGGAGTTGTTGTAGTATCTCTTGAAACTCTCTATCATGTCGCGGGAATGACTCGTCCACTGGTTGATTTTGCGGTAAGTTTCCATGGTGTTGACAAGCTGAGAGCCGCCGTACTGCACAGCAATGGTATCGCCATGGTCATGATACATGTGTGTAAAGAGATTGACGGCATCCGTGTCATAGTTGATAGAGGTGTCCTCAAGAATGCCGAGTGCGTGCAACTGATGCCCTAGGGCTCTTTTGCCAATAACGAACTGCGCCGCGTTGGTGCGATCTAGACAATCAATACAGTTCGTCCGGGCGACACCATTCTGTACGCTTGTCGGGTACACCTTGCCGTCGCCGTCGTGGAAGAAGCCTGTCGTGGTGACAACATCCTCGGCAATACGCTCTAGGGTACCTATAACGTCTTGGTCGCGACTCTTTGCCGCTCGGCTCATATCCCAGGCCTTATGGATGATCTTACGTCCCTCGGGTAGGAACTGGTTAAGATAGTTAATGGCATTTGTGTATTCCAATAACAGCTTGGACTCTCGTGGCGTCCTCTCTCTGGCCTTCACCAAGTTCAGTACGTAGATGGGGGCGCCGTAGCGCTCGAAAAGGTTGTCGAAATGAAGGGCTGCCGCGCTGTAGAACGGGTCGACCAAGTTGAGCTCAATTGGCGGCTTTGGGGTCACACCCGTGTTGTCCTGTGTCCAGTAAAGAGGAATACTGCCCCTATGCTGGACATACGAGGTGTACTGCGGACTGGAGAAGAGCCTCGGTCCAGGGGCGTGAAACGAAGTGGTCAACGCTTCCGAAACTATCTGTTCTGTCTCGACATCGTTGGCGACGTAGCCCTATCAACGCCCTCTGGTCAGTGATGGGTCGTTCGAAATAGTATTTTTTGTTTGTCATGTCAGCCTACCAGGTCATTGGCTCCGCGTTTAAGGAATCTAGCTCCAGCGAAGAAGCGGGATCGCCGGGCAATGATGGTGATGTACGCAGTACGGCCATATATCGATAAAGCTACATCACTCATCATTAGCCACGTAACATCAACTTCACCGCCTGCATTCGGGATGGAAACGCACCAGCCTGGTCGATGTAGCCGTGTATGATGGGATGACACCAGTCAAAAGGATCCTTAAGAGCCTTCATGGCCGGTTGCAAGAGATGGCTATTCCATACAAACATGCCGTTGAAGTCATCTATAGCCCCCGGAAGTCCACAGGCAAGCGCCTCACGCTCCCTCGTAAGATTATGCTGAAGCGTGCGTGTTATGTCGTATGAGTAGCTATAATAAAAGGATCTGGTCAGGTCTAGGTTGTTGAGGATGCCTAAAAAGCGAGACTCTTCAGTGTTTCTGACGTCGGCTTTGAATCGGTTTGGTGTGAGCGGCACCAACTCTGTACCATCAACTTGGTAAATGTAGTGCCCCCCAATCATGGCCACCGTACTCTTCTTTGTGATCAAAAGCATGTAGTAAGGCCCCGTAAACTTAATAAAGCCCAGCAATCCCCATGCAGTACAACGCAGCTTGATGCCTCCTGTTCCCTTGTTGCCATCATCGATCGTGTCCAACAGCTGGTTCATCTCCTTTTGGCTGTAAATGATCTTGTCGTCGGTAATGCTCAACTCCGAGTCGTCTGTAGTTCTCTCGATTTTGAGAATCCGGTATCGCCGCTCGGTCACGTCGCCGCCGACGATATAATAGCGTGTGGCTGTCTCGTACAAGCTGAACTTATGCATTTTGCGATCGAGGCGATCGAGGCCCGTTTCGTCGTACGCATCTGTTGCGCGAGCAGCGGAGTCGGGACTCGACGTCCGTACAAAGGGTTTGGCTACTGCTGGCTCTTCCTCGGCATCGTCTTCGCCAGCTCGGTTTTGAGTCGCAGCGTCTGAGGAAAGAGCTTTGGCTGTCTCATCGTTGTTAAGTAGTGGAAACACAGGCGACAAATCTCGGCTTAACTTGTCCTGATCAGCATCGCCAGGGAAGGTCATAGGGGGGTTGGAATCGCGCGACGCTGGTCGTTCGGCCATGGTTCTGGACAGAATAGCTCCTGTTTAGGAGCCGCTGAATGAGTGCACGAGTTTAATGTACGACGTAATATCGGTGTGTTATGTCTTTATACGTAATAGAGAGCAATTATGATAAAATTAAATAAAGCTTAATATACTAATTAAATTAAAGAAGCTATAAAATTATTAACTAAAATAGTATTTTATAAGGGTTAGTTTATTTAAAATTATTTGGTTATAATAATAATTAATATTATTATTAAATAAATAAACCTAGTTAAGTTAAATTTAATAATACACATAATATACCTGTATAGCGAGTCAGCCAACATAGTAAGTTAGCTACTTTTCCTTCTTTCTACCTCTTTAATCTTTATACTACTTTTCCTTTGCATATAAACATATAATCCTCCTTAATTAAAAGTCATATTATCTTTACTTTTTAAGCTATTAAAAAAGACCTAAAGATATTTATATAAGAAGTAACTTAAACCTTTTAAATCCCTTAAATAATACTTTAAGATTAATATATTAAACGCGTTATATAACCTAAAAGATAACTAAATTTAATAAAAATAACTATAATAAAAAAAAGTAATTCTTAAATAAGTTATTAACTTAATTAATTAAAGGTTTTTTTTATAATAAAGAAATATATAAGAAATAGCTAATTAACTTTTAAATATATATAATAAGATATATATAAAACCTTAATTAATAAAAAACTTTATATAATATATTTTTTAATTAAAAATATAATTTTAATATTAAATTAATTATTAAAAAGTTTTAATTAAGATTCTTATAATTATATAAAACTAGTTTATATTTATATAAAATATAATTACAAAGTATAAAATACTTAATAATAATATTTATAATTCTAATAAAATAAACTTTCTAACAAAAATATTATTAATATATTTATATAATAAGTAAACTAATATAGTAAATAAACTATTTTCTTTTACCTTTTTACTTCTTATATAAGTTAATTAAACTATAACATATAAAATTAATTAAAACTACTTTTTATCTTTTTTTATTATTATCTTAAATTATCTTATAAGTTTATATATTATATTTAGGCTTTTTATAACTATTATATTATTATATATATAGTTTAGTACTTTTTATATAATATTCTTTTTAGAGGTTATTTTTACTTTTAGTATTAATATTACTTTTTGTATTTATAGTGTTTTTATTTTAGTAATATTAAATAACGTACTTGCATAGCGAGTAGGCTAATATAGTGAGTAGACTACTCCTTATCGCTAGAAAAACCCCCTTTTTTAACTATTTATTAAAAATCTACTTCTTATCTAAAATAGATATAATTTTGTATAAAGGCTTAGATAAGGGTTATTAAGTAAAATAAAATCTACTAGAAATTATTACTATACTTTAACCCCTAGATCTTTAGAAATTCTCTTATTTAGAGGCCTAGATAAGAGATACTAGGGTTAGAGAGAGATAATATTTTTTATACTATTATTTACTAGAATTTAACTCTTATCGTTATATAACACTAAAAACTAGGTCTTTTTTAGTTAAGAATCTGCTTGTTAATAAATAGTTAAAAAAGGGGTTTTTTCTAGCGATAAGGAGTGGCCCGCTCGCTATGTTGGCCCACTCGCTATGCGAGTACGTTAACTTTTTAAGATATAGTTTAGTCTTTTTTGCTTTTTAGTATTTACTTAATACCTTTATTTTTATATAAAGCTTATACTTAGGGGTGTTAGTTAGCGCCACGTAAAGCTAAACACCTTCTCCTTACAGAGAGGGCAAAAAAACCAGGTTACTACTATAAAAAGATAGTTACTACTATATCCCTACTTTGTCTTAACTTTTATTATAATTTTACTAAAATAATTAATTATTTAAATATTTTATTAATAAATATTAATATTATTTAAACTAAATATCTTTATTTAATATAGTTAATATATTTTACTTATATAATAAGAATATAACTATTACTAAAAAGGCTATTAAAGTACTATTTATTACCTAGTAATAAGTAAACTAATTTAGCTATACTAGTAAAAACTTAGCTTTTATACCTTTTATTTACTAGACTACCTAGGACTACAAAGTATTTTATATAGCAATTAAGAAGTATCTTTATACTTTATAAGCTAATAATAACCTTTATATAAGCCTAGATAAAGGTAACTAGCTATAAGTAATAATAGACGCTAAAGATATAGCTTTTATAGCCTTTATTATATAGCTTACTAAAGCTAGCTTTTTAGCCTTACTAATATAAGTTAAAGAGACGGCTAACTATTTGTATAGTTTTTATAGTATACCCTTTATATTAGAGTACTTTATTTATACTTAGCTTATTAACTACCTAGAGCTTTAAAAGAAGGCTATTATTAAGCTAGTTAAGATGTACTATAAGAGAGTAAAGCTAGACCTTGCTTTAAAAAAGGACTTCTTTATATAGTATTAAGTAATAGTCTAAGAGTATAATCTTAGCCTTTTAGAAATATAGAATACTAATAAGTTAAGGTACTAAATTAGTTTTTTAGTAATAAGATATATATAATATTACTTTAGTAGCTACTAAAATATAACTACTTACTAAAGGTTATTAATCTTATAAATTAAGAGTAATATATATTAGTTAAATATAGTAATACTATAAGTAATAATATACTAAGATATTTAATCTTTAAAACATAGCTAGTTACTGCTTAAGTAAATTATTAGATCTAAAAAGGTGTTTATTTTATGTATTTAGTAATTAGCTTTTTGAACTAAGAGGTTATAATAGACTATATATAATATTTTAATATTAAATTATATATAAAGTTAACTAAGTATTACTATATAGGTTATTTACTTAGGGATTATTTTAGTGTTAACGTATATAGTTATAATAACTATAACTTATGTTTACTTAATAGTAAGCTAAATAAAGTATACTAATATTATTATAATTATTAAAATACTATTAAGAAGTTAAAGTAGTTATATTATTTGCTTTTATTAAATAGGTTTATTAGTTATATTAGTATAAAGCTTATAAAGTATTATATTAATTTTAATATTATCTTAGGCTTTTTTTTACCTTATATAATATACTTTTTTTAGTTTATAAATATTAAGGTCTTTTAGCTATTTAAAAGTATTTAGTAAAAGGTATTTTATAACTATATATAAAATAATAACTTTATATTTATAAGGGGTAACTTTATTATTACTTTTACTAATATAATTAATATTACTTTTATAGCTATAAATATTATAAAAAGGTTTAAAAAATTAAGTATTTAGCTTATTAGAGATAATATTATATTAGTCTAGTTAATAAAAAAATATAATAAAGTAAAGCCAATATACTATTTTACTTTATTTATTTTTTATTATATAATAATTACTTTAATAAAGCTATACTTACTACTAACTATATAAAAAAGAAATATAATAGCTTATAAAATACTCTTTTAAAAAAAAGATTCAAAGTAATTAAAAAAGTAATTAATAAAAAAGCTTTTAGCTATAAGTACTAATAAGGTTATATTAAAGACTATAATAAAAGGCTAGTAATATAGTAATAAAGAAGCTAGGCTTAATAAGCTATTAAGCTAAGCTACTTATTTATATTAAGTATTACTTTTAATAATATAAAAGAGGTATATAAGAAGTAAGTAACTAAGGCTATATAAGTAAAGTAAAAATAGTAGTAAGTAGTAGTTAAGAGGATAGCTTGTAGCTAAGAAAAAGAGGTCTATTAATAATATAGTGCTTTAAAGTATTAGATAGTAGATAAGTAGATAAGGTAATTAACTTTTAAATAGTAGCTATATTATATTAGAGAAGTTAATACTTATATTCTATTTAATACCTTAGATTTTTGTTAGTATAATAAGCTAAAACAAATTTCATTATTAACGTTAATTTTACCTTTTTATTATAATATATACTTAATTAATTTAAGTATATAGTAAGGCCTCTTAGTTAAGGTAATATTAACTAAGTATTAACTAATACTACTATAGAGGTAGCTAGGCTAGACTTTAATCCTGAGATATTTATAGATATAGATAATCCTGTTAATAAAGACGTTAATAAGGCTATATTTAGTAAAGAATTAGTTAGTATACCTAGGGATAAAGATAATGATCTTGAAATAGTATTAGTACTATTACTAATTATAATACTATTAACATAAATAATAATATTAAAGGCATTATTACAATATAAGTTATAATACTATATAATCAAAGATAATATAAATACCTAGTAAAATAGAGGCATAATAGAAAATAACCTATTTATCTCTTTATTAATATAGATTAAAAAGAAATAGTAATATATAATTAATAATAATATTAGTAATAATACTATTATAGTAGTAATTTAAATTTTTAGTTATTATATAAAAAATAAAAAAAGGATACTTCTATAAAGCCTTAGATCAAGGATATTAATTAATACTACTTTTATTATTATATAATGTTATAGTTATTATAGCTTTTTAAATTAAAAAGTAGAGGTTTCTGTGTATAACAGGTAAAAGTGATGCTATTTGTGATGTAGGGTAATAACCCCTTTTTTGTAGTAGTAACTTAGTTTTCTTACCTCTTACGTAAGTAAAGGGTTTTTAGTGCAGCAGACTTAATAACTAAAACCTCTGGGTAGTTCTTAGCCTTAATAATAGTAAGCCTATAAGTTAATTTACTAATACTTTTAGCTTAGAAGTTAATTATTTTATATATTAGTATTAATGAATTACTTTAATATACTTAGATCCTTTTTTAAAAAGAAGAAGTACTTTATATACCTTTTAGTGTTATAGTTAATGTCTTTATATTCTAAGAGCTTTAGCTACTTAGCTATAAAGTTAAAGGTATTAGTGTCTTTAGCTTAAAATTTAACTAAGAAATAACTACTTTAAGGTTAAAAGGTATAAGGCTTATTTATTTAAAACTAGCTTATATATTATTTTTGTTTATAAAGGTAAAGAATATTACTTTAAAAGTATAAAAAAAATAATTTTTAGTAAT